GTTGAGCAGAGGGTCCTTGTCTGAGACGGTGCCACCTTCTAGGGTGTCACAGCTGCTTCCTGCCTCTCATTTCTAGATTGATGGATCGTTCTCTGGTGTTACTACAAGCTGGCCTGTACTTTTCTGTGAATTTGTTTCCTTCAGACTATTTGCAGAAATGACAGAGGTGAATCCTAGGATTATCTCTGCCTATTATCAGGTAAGGACTGAGAAAAAGAGTGGCCAAGAAATTAAGAAAAGTTACTTTTGCTTGGACTCATCTTCTCTTTTTAGAGCTATAGGCTTGCCTGTGCCCATCCTATAGGATGCCAGAGTGTACAGGGCCATGAGGTTTGTTCAGTATTGTTAGTCCTGAATTTTGCATCCCAAGTGCTATGAGTGGGGCTTCAGACAGTGTGCTAGCCTGATCCCTTCAATGCCCCTAAGGTAGGAAGCAGTTTCCAAGAAGTCCAGGGCTTTCAAAAGGTAAGAGAGCAAGAGGTCCCAGGGCTGATCCTTGTTGCCAGCAACAGGTATATTCTCCAGAGCCAGCTCCAAGGAGTTAATTGATGTGTTTTCTTCTTTCTGGAAACTGGTAATTAACCCTGTTGAGGCATAAGTGTATGTGCTGCAGATGCTTCCTGTAACCCTAGTGCATAATCTAGTGTCTCCCTTACCTTTCAGCTGACAGCTCTGACAACTCTGATTTGGAAGATGACATCATCTTATCTCTGAATGAGTGAGGAGACATCACTATGTGGAAAAGATTCTTGGCACGCAAGAAACTGAGTTGTATGAATTGAGAATACCTTTCCTTTCCTTTCTCCCAGGGCTATTAAGGAACTGCATGCCCTGTATTCAGAAGATTATGGTTTAAAGTCTCACTGGAATCTGAGGGTCCTTCTAAGAACAATAACCACAAAAAGACAACAGGGATTAGGCCCTATTCTGCATTCCCACCACCTACCCCCACTAAGATGGACATATCTTTCCTCAAGGGAAAAAAACAAAACAAAACAAAAAAACAAAACATGCCTCAAGTTATTTCCAATATATTTTCTTTGTATAATGTTCTTTACTTAAAGAACAATAGTTTTTTATAAAACTTAAAAAAGAAAAAAAATACAACAGGCATTTATAACTGAGGGTATGAACTTATATCCACCATGTCTCTTGTCTCTGCACTTCATTTTCTTTGGAAGAAAATGATGTCTAAAACACAAGAGAGGCATTTTTACATACATATTTAAATGAAAAGGAAAATCGTGGTTTCTTAAATTGATAAGGATTAAGAATATTTTATTATAAATATAATATATGATTTTTTTAGCCTGTTTTGTTGCCTCCTGTGCTGTCAGGTTAATTTGTTTTCTGTCATGCCAGAAGTAGAGAAGGCGGCACTGGTGTTTGCTGAGGAAATGCCTAAATTTACCCCCATGGTCTATTGGTCAGTATGGTCACTGTGGATATTGGTTTTGTGGAGTTGAGGGAACTTAGGATATAAGTTCACTCCCTCTATTTTTCTTTGTGATTCAGTTTTTCAAAACCTTTTTTCCTCCCCTTGCTCCCCAATGTGGAAATTACAAATCAAAGGCCTTTTTCTTTAATGTAAAGTGTATTTATTTAAAAAAAATACAAAATAAAACTACAAGTCTTTGTTTATGGCCTTTCCCTATTCTCTTTTTACCAAAGTAGGATCTCCCTTGCCTTGCAGCTCTAGTAGGATACACAAAAGATGGTTCCAAGGGAGGCAAAGCAGGTTAATGGTGAGAACATTATGCCCCCTTAACACACCCCTGGAGAACAGTAGCTCAGTGAGTGTCTTGCTAGCCCTGGCCTTTGGTTTGGGTGGAGGATCTGCTTTGGGGAGGGATAACAGGTGGGGCAGAGTGCAGGGTGTGACCGCAGCAGCTTAGCACTCCACCCCCCTATATTCTGGATCAGTTGGGCAGCTTGATCATTTGGAGGAATGAATGGACTGACAGAGCTGAAGAGCATTTCAGCCATCCCTGTGGTAGGGGTCTAGACTGCCATTCCTATTCTCTAAGGGCAAGTGATACAGGACTTTTGGTTTTCCAGTCCTGCTGCTTGAGGGCCAGTTGGGGTTTAGTCAGGCTGAGTTTGCATCTACTTCAGGGATGCCTAAAATTAGCCTATCCTTAAGACTAACCACCAGAGAAAGTACCAGGGACTCCTTTTTCACCCTACTTTTCTTCACACAATAAATTGAGAACTCTGATCTCTCCAATTTTGCCTGCAAAACAGCTTTTAGTTTCTGTTACATAGAATACAGCTAGACTTTTCTCCCTTAGTGAGAAGAGAGGGGGTGCATTTAATTGTTACAAAGTAAACAAGCAACATAAGACAGCTAAAACTCTCCAGGGGCAGGTAAACCCTGCTGGGCTCAGGAGCAATGTACAGCGTGTCATGTACACTGAAGTGGGCCTGAGCCACACAGGGACCTCTGGGTCCTCTGAGCAGAGGTCTCAGCTCCACATTTGCTTCATGCCTCAGCTTTAAGTGGTGGCTAACACTAACCAGAATAGCCTGACTGCTGGCACTGCTGCAGTCAGGAGCCGTGCATGCACACTAACAGCGGAACGCCTCCATTAGTCTGCCAGCTCTTGAGAGCACCCACAGGTCTCTGAGGTGGAGATGGGCACATCTGATAGGACAGCAGAGTTCTGGCTGACTTGACAGCATACCCTTAGGAAAATGCCGTAAGACCCACCTACCCTTTTCCCTTATTCTTCTAGGGGTCAAAATAGGAGTCACTTAGGAAGAAACATAAAAGACTACAGTCTTCACTGCCTCACACTCTCCCTTAACAGCCTAGGACCTGATCCCAGGTGCATAACTGCACTGCACAGTGCACTTCCAGTTCTCATGGGTAAGTCATGAAGCAGCCATTCTTGACCAACTGACCTAGGCCTGAGAGGTCCACAGAATCTGCTATGTGTCTACAGCCAGAGAAAGGAAGTGGAAGTGGCTGAGGTCCAGGGAAAAGGGAGCCATACAGTGGGCTGTGACTCTTTACCAAAACTCTGTGGCCAGAGGGGATCCTTCGCTAAGGAGGGGTGGACAAGACTTTGGTGTTTCCCACTCCAGCTTCCTAAAGATGCAAATCTTTTACCTGGTTCAGCCCTGGGGCAGTTGGGAGCCATATTCTCTGAAGGAAGGTAGGCAGTTCAGAAGAGCCATGTAGCTCTGCTCTGTGACGTGAAGACATGCAGAACAAACTGCAGTGCACTTCACTCAAGGCTCCCTCCTCGGCAGTGCCACCTTCTCATCTGAGTACTGAGGTGCATAGTGGACTTGCTTATACTTGGCAGCTGTGGCTACAGCTCAAGTAGAAATGGGCAAATAAACATGTTCAACATTGTGTTTCTTAATGTTACAAATGCATTTGTTCTCATGATCACTGGCCTAAGCCCAGTATGTGGTACTTTCCAAGGCCCAGTCTCCTGTTCCTTCTGTGTTTCCATGTAGTCTGTAGGGAGCCCCAGCCTGTGCAGAGAACCTAGTTGAGATCCCATGGTCACCTCTGTTGGCTGGAGAGTGGGCCAGACCTGGAGTATGGGCTTGGTCAGAACCTAGTTGCCTCTTCCCAGAGCTTTCATTCCTCAGACCAGACACGCTGCACACATACACACTGCTGAATGCTGTTTGGACTCTACTGTAAAATGACGGCTCCCTTATGCTCTGGGTTTCCTCCCTGGTCCCTGGCCCCAGTGCCCACCTACCCAATTAGACCAATGAGAGCAGAATTCTAAAACTGCTTGGGCTAACTTTCCCTCCATATCCTTTCCTAACTCCCGCCTGGTTTGAGTGGCTTTGCACAAGCACTTTACCTAAACCTCAGAGACAAATACCTCATCTTTTTTTCTTTCCTCTGATACCTGGTATCACATTCAGGATCTTGTACTTGCCAGGCAGGCATTTGAGCTGCTAAGCTCTAAGACCTCAGTTTTGAAAGAGACAAATGTTGTTTCTCTGTGTTCTTCTGTTATTGGAGCAAGACGCTGTTCGGTCACTTACCAAGGATACCTTCCCAACCCACTGTAATCTGCAACAGCACTGTGAAGTACTTCATTGGGGATTCATCATTCTCCACAAAGCTGTAGGTGTGCCTGGGCCTATCTTACATCAGCCCTGAATGATAGAAGGGACAGCCAAAAATCAGACTCCTGAGTAAGAGTTAACCAAGGCAGGTAGCCTCAAACCCTCTACAGCCTCCATGATTCCTGAACTAAGTAAGGCTAGAAAGGATCCTGGGGCGAGATCAGACCAGAGATCCTATAGACCAGAAACGTCCTGGAGTTTGTGAGCAACAAGACCTTTGGATCAATATTGCACTGCTTTTCCACACTCAAGAACACAACAGCTTGAAAACTACCCACTGTCAAAACAGCTTTTACAGTTGGGCACTTTGCCCAGCAACCACAAGTTGAACTGATGGACACACCCATAGGTCAGAAAAGCCAAACCAAAAGCAGCAGTAGCTGTTGGCACAGATATTCCTTAGGCTCACCCCTTCCTCTGCAGAGGATCTCATCAGGTTGGTACCCAGCAGGGCAAAGGACTGTTTGTGTGGGCATCAGCTAAGATTAAAAATGAGTTCTCACTCAGCTTAAGAACTGATAGCCACCAAAATACAGCAGGCCTCTTGGACACAGTAGTGCCAGAAATGAGACACGGGATGTCCTCCATTCTTTGAAGAAAAAACTTGATTAAACCCAGACACTAAACGGATTAGAAATCCATCCTGACAAAGGTTTTACTGACAATTTTCCATACAGTTAGTCAAAAAATAAAAAAATACAGAATACAGCAGACAGTATCTCATACACTAGAGAAGTCAACATAACAGGTTCTTTTTGTGGGAAAAAAATCCCCCACAATCTAAGAACTTAGATTTAGTGGTGGACAAAATTTTGATCCCTATACCAAGTGAACCAAATTAATCCAAATCCAGCAGAGAATTCAAACCAAGGGAACAGGAAGAGAAGCAGATTTGAAAAGTAACTGCTTTTGAGTTTGGGTTAGGCAGTGTCTCTCACAATCACTATCACCATGTGTTCTTCTTCCAGCTTGCCCAATGTCCTCAGTGCTGACTGCAGATACTGCTGTGAGAAGTCGCAGGGTGGGAAGGCATACAGCATGCCCGTGATGTCTCTGCCCTTGGACCCCCCCACTGGCAGGCTGATCACACCTGCAGCCTGTTTCTGTTTCAAGTAGGAGACCAGGTTCCTGAGAAGCCGCCTCTGCAGGCCTGGTTCCACTGTGGCCATCGCATCAGTGCCAGGCCCACTGGGGGCTGCTTGGGTGGCTAGGAGCACGGCATAGCCATTGGGACTTCCCTGCTTGATGCGTCGCGTGACCTCGTCAAGCTTGGGCTGGTCCAGTCGAAGGCGCTGTGCGATTTTCAGCTGGGTCAGCTTGCTCCCAGAAGAGTGGTCTTTGAGAAGACCACTGATGACTCCCTGGTCTCCCTCTAGTATATGCATAGATGTTGGGAAACAGCTGTTTTTCAACACTAAAAGCCCATTCCAACCCAGCTGCAGCGTCTGAGCATACTCTGAAAGAGTCTTCAGCTTTTTGGTCTCATGTTTTGGCTCTTCGAGAGGCTTGGGCTCGGCCTCAGAGGTCCGATGATTGCGCTCGCTCTCTCTCGTCTTCTTCCCATGGGAAGAGTCTGGAGCTTCGTGGTGGTGGTGGTGGTGACTCCGTTCCTCAGGCCCATATCTGCTGTTGCTGAGGGAGTTGCTGCCTGACTCCTTGTTCCCTTCACCAGAGTGGTTTTCCTTGCGGCTCCGTTCAGGGGTACGGTCCGAGCCACGATCAGTCTGCTGCCCACCACCCTTGGTCCTGCTCCGTTCCTCATATGGAGAATGAGTCCTCCCTCTGTCACTGGAAAGGCTCCTCCGCTTGCGCCTGTCTTCCCAGGTCTTGGGCATGCCTCTGTCCCCTTCCCCTCCCCAGCGCTCACCGCTCCGGCTGCGCACTGAGCGACTATAACCCTCCAGACTGTTTCTGCGGTCAGAACTTTTACTGGGGCTGGTCCAATCCCCTTCCAAAAAGGTCCTGTCTCGGTCTGAGTATAGAAGGTGTGGAGGGGTCCTATCTCGCACTCGCAAGTCTGCATCCAGGGTTCGGTGCCGGGTATATCCATCTGTGAGAAGCTCATAGTGCACAGGAAGGGGAGTGGGCTGGTACTGCTGGGGATACCGAGTCTCTTCTGCTTTGGCAAAATCTACCCGGAGTCTGCGATCAGGGCCACCCAAAGGAAAGCCCCTCATTTTTGCACAGGCCGCCTGGGCTGCATCCAAACTTTCGTACTGGATATAGGCAAAGCTGTCTCCTTTGACGTGGTCAATGGTCCGAATGCTTCCAAAGCGATCAAACTCCCGTGCCAGGGCTGCCAGGGAAGTGTTGGGTCCTAGGCCACCCACCCAGAGGCGAGTTGTGGGGTTGGCCTTGCCATAACCTATCTTAATGGGATTTCTGCCAATCACACGGCCTGACATGGCCACCTTGGCTCTGTGGGCCATGTCCAGGTTCTGGAACTTGAGGAAAGCATAGGCCCCACCCTGCCCTCGGGCAGGCCTCTTGATAACCACCTCCTCAATGATACCATACTTCTCAAAGGCCCGACGCAGCTCCACCTCGGACACGCTGTGGTCCAAGTTCCCGATGAACAGGTTTCGAGTGGCCCGCTGGTCGTCCTCAGGCATCAGGTCCTCTTCGCACATGGCAGGGTAGCCGTACGGGCGCCCGCGGTCGTCATACAGCCCGTAGTAGTCTAGGGCCCGCTCTCGGGACAGTCCCACGGCAGCGGCAGCGGCATCCAGGGCAAAGGCTGCAGCGGCGTGCCGGGCTCGGGGCTCGCGCAAGGGCGGGGCAGCGACCGGAGACAGCGAGCGCTGCTTGTACTGGTAGCCTCCGTGCAGCGGCAGGTAGCCAAGCGGGTCGGCAGGCGCGGGAGGCCCCGGAGGCGGCGTGGTGGCAGCGGCACTACTGCTGCTGCTTCTCCGGCTGCTCCCGCCACCGCCGCGCAGGTACACCGGCTCCACCTTGAGCGGGCGATCATACAGGAGCAGCTGGCGGGCCAGGGCGTGCTGGCGGGCCTCTCGCGCGTCCTGTGGATGCCGGAAGTTCACGTAGGCCACGCGCCCCAGCTCAGGCGTGTGCGACAGGCGCAGACTGATCTCGCCGAAGCGCTTGAACTGGTGGAATAGCCGGTCCTCCAGATGCTCGGCGGGCAGCGCGGGGCTCAGGCTGCTGATGAGCAGCGTCTTATACTCCGGCGCGGCTGCAGAGCCAGGACCTACTGGTTCGGCTCCGGGAGGCGGGGGCGGCGGCGGCAGTGGAGATGCGCGGGGAGACGCGCTCGAGGCGCCCGGGTCCCCCGAGGCCTTGCTGCCGCGTCCACCGCCGCCGGCTCCAGAGCCCGAGGAGCGTCCGCTGCTCGCACGGTGATTTGCGTCCCCGGCGCCGCGGCCGTCGCGATGTCCTCCGCCGCCGCCCCCGCTACCGCGGGGCTTGTCGCGGGCCCGCGCTGGAACTGGGTGCTTGGCGCCGCCGGAGGCCTTATGCACCGCTCGCCGCCCGCCCGCCTCCGCCTCCCGTTCGCGTTCCCGTGGCCGCTTTGCCGACGACGACGAGCCACGCCCGCTCGGGCTGGAGTCTCGCTCGCTCTGCCGCTTCATGGCGCCGGCGCGGCGGGCGGGCGGCCCGCGAGTCCTTCACAGCGGCGGCGGCGGCGGCGGCCCAGGAGGCAGCGCCCCCGGCGCCGCCATCTTGGACAAAAGGACTCGGCGCGGCGGTGGCGGCGGGGCGGGGCGGGACAGCGCTCAGGGGCTGGGCTTTGAGTCATCACGCTGCGACGGCTTCCCCACGTGACCGTGAGGCAGAGGCGACGGCTGCGCCAGGGTGCGTCATCTCGTTGCGCCATACGATGTCACGTGATCCAGCGACAAGCGGACAAGGGGAGTGGGGCTGCCAGCTCTGGCGCCACCGTGCTGTTAGCTCGGTGAATGGTCGAGGCCCTGCGTTGTGATCGGAGGTGTCCCAAAAGGCCACTGGCAGGACGACCTACGCTAGCTTGGTGGTGACCGTGCTGGCTGGAGTTAGGAGCAGCAGCTTCCGTTGGTACCAGCGTCCGAGGACTTGGCGCAGCGAGCACTTTCCACTCCCTGCGGCTGGTGCACATCCCTGTCATCACACACATTGAGGTTTGCCAGCAGCGGTCCAGTTAAGGCCATAAGAGCAATGGCTGTCTCGTTCTCACTACTCCAGCCGGTGACACCTGGCTATGTTCTGCACAGAGCTAGAGATAATCCACCTGCAGTTTAGAGTTGGAGTAAGCTCCTTGGTGCCTCAGTCCAACCTTCTGCTGTGGGAATCCGGGCAGACAGCAGGCTAGAAGGCAGGGCCACAGAGTCGGGTGAAGAAGCCAAGCACAGATAATACCTGCTGTTACCATTGCTTGCCGTGCTGACCCCTAGGTCGCCAGTACTGTTCATGTCCAGGTGCGGTGAGGGAAGACTGCTCAGGCCTATTGGGTAAGCTTTTATTCTTCAAGGCCAGTAGTTGAAGCCACTGGAATGCCTGACCCAACTTCAGACACAGAACCCATAGGGTAAGGAAGAGTGCACCTAGTTTTTCTCTCCTCTCAAAATCAGAAAGCAATAGGTACTTTAAGAAGCAAGGTCTTGGAAGAAAACAGCAGTAGGCTCCATAGTCAGCTGTAAGGCCCCTTACAGGCAAAGTGAACTTAGGAGCTGCACGAATGAAGTGACCTGTAAGACCAGCTCTTGAGAAAGCACAATTTCTTACACCTTCCTTTCCTCTGGTTTCTGCAAGGTGGAGCCACAGCTTGCATGGATAACTTAAGAAACGACACCAGAAAGCAGCCAAAAACCAGACTCCGTAGAAATTCTCACAATTGTTATCTAGGATAAATAGGCAAAAGGCAGGCCTCCCACACCACTTATTTGTATAAGCCGACTGCTGCCAGTCTTAGAAAAATCCAAGTACCATCAGAGGATGTTAGACACGAGACCTAGGCTGTAAACCCTGATGAGCAGGTAGGTAACCACACAGAGCATCGTTAGAAATGTACATACTGTGGTTATGGAAAAACACTCCCAGTGTGTCCTCAGCCCAGATTATACTGAGCATTGATGTAAGGCCCTCCCATATACTACAGACTCTACCTCTGTGCCTAGGAACAGTGCAGCCTCCAGCCCCTTCTACTGGACCAGGGGAGGCAAGGTGCCAAACTCCAGCTCTTCTCTGGCTGAGATGTCCAATGCACTCTAGTCCTAAAAAATCAACACATATTAGCTTCCCTCAACCAGTGTCCTGCCCTGGTCTTGTAAGCACTGGTGGGCTGAAGAACACATGGGAATACACCCCAAAACTCTTAGCTAACTGGAAACCATAAAATGGTATCCTCACCAAGGGATAAAATCCTATTTCAGAATTCACTTAACTCTCAAAGGACAGCTAGATTTGTTTTTTTCTTTTAATAAAAAAATTCGAGACATACTTTGAAGTCCTAGAGTAAACCATCAACAGAAGAAAACGAGTCCCACTATGGGGGCACCATAGAGCCCGCATCATCAGGAAAGCTCCTGGCTTCACATCTGATATTGTCAGGAGCCCGCTTAAAAAATAAATTACAAAAAGGCTGTTTTGGCAAGAAACAGCCAAACTTCTTCCCCTCAGGTGCAGCAGGAATTGGGTTGGGTAGACTATAAATCAGTCCGAGCACTGGCTGCCTTGGGGGCATATTTAGGCATCAGTTCATTTATCTTCCGGATGTAATCAGATTTCTCAGCACAGCCTTTGCATGTCTCTCCCCAGTCGTCCAAGATCTTCTTCAGCTCTTTCACTCGGAGCTTCTTCAGGTCCACTGTGCTCAAGTCGATCTGCTTGTCTGGAGAGAGAAGGGAAAGTAAGAAACCGGGTGGGAGCAGCCAGAGCTCCAATCCTGAGATGGGTTCTTCCCTGCACAGCCATCTCTTAACCAAGAGGGCTACCTCAGGCCATCCATGTCCACTTCAGGGCAGTGCAGAAACATCACACAGTTCCTAAGAAGAGAGAGACAACTCCCATCCGCCAAGTGTCTCTTACGTAGTCACCACATGACGACAGCTCCATAGTGGTTGACAGGGCAGATAAATCCCCTTGTATCCATTCCCTAACAGTGGCAGGCCTGGAGCCAGGAGCTTTATTTGGATAGTCACTTGTGACCAGTGACCTCAAGTCAGGTGGACTATCAAGATAACACTCAGAAGACCAGACATCCCTGATGTAAAACACAGGGCCTTGGGCCTTTGTGAGTCATAGTAAAAAAAAAAAAAATGGGTACTCTTTAAACTTTATGACTGTGTGCAACCAGAGATGAGCTCAGTCAGAGACATGCTATGGCTCTTGTCACTTGGGCTAAAGATCTCAAGGCTTTCTGGGTACAGCAAGGACAAGGTAGTTAAACCCAACTCAGAAACTTTAACGCTCCCAACCTCAGACTAAAGCAAAAGTTCTCACCAACTTGCAAGGCCCCTGTGCCCTGCACACCTACCAGTCATGCCATGTGCTGCTTTTACACACTGCTTACACTCTTCACCTGAAATACTCTTCTAGTAGCTTGCTCTTGGCTAAAATTCCACCTCATTTGTAAACCTCAACAGAGTCGATTCTGACCTGCGCATGTTTTAATGCCAGAGTCTCCCCACCCCTGACATTGAGAGTCATCCATCAGGCTACACAGCCTGCTCACTATGGCTCTAGACTATTACCTTCCTTTCTGCATGCAGAGGCCATAGAATGTAGGCCTGATCACACTCACCATACTTTAGTTCACAGATCTGGCTGTCTTTCTTCTTCAGTTTCTCACAAATCTTCTCCACGGGGATGTGGTGGGCCAAAGGTTTTGACACCTCATTGATGATTTTCGTAGCAGCATCATCTGTGGCCCCAATATAGTAGCACTGCAGCAAGAAAAGGACACTAACCCTCTTAGGAGGACTCAGTCATTTCCTCCAAAATACCTCTCTGCCAAGGATTCATTTTTTTGGTGCCCTGCCTGGGCTGGCAGTCAGATTCAGTTAGCATATATCCCAGGCTTTTAAAACAGGCACTGTCTCAGAGCTTACGAGTCATGTGGGCTCAAAATGTTAACAGACAAAGCAAAGACCAGGGAAATTACAGTAGAAAAGCCACTGCTTCGCTGGGGATCTTGGCCTCACTTGTCCCGATCTATCCCACAGCATCCCAGTAACCTCTTCACAATGTCAAACCATTCTGGCCCCTTGGCACTGGCTGACTCCTCTGCCTGACTCCAATGATGCCTCGCCTCAGGGAGCCTCTTGACCTCTGTCTGATCAGCATCCACCCTACCAGTAAGCAGAGCTAAGACGACCAAGTCCATCTTCTTCAGAACCCCACTGTCAGTTTTCTCCCCTGGTGTTCCTAGTGGCCAGCTTGCAGCAGGTGCTTAAGAAATACTAACAGGACAAAAATATCACAACTGGAGAATACACATCTTGTGGAAGGACATGAAAGGCTGTCCATCCTACATCAGTTTACTGACAGAAAAGTGGCCCACTGAGAAGGAGAAGGTACAGACTCGTCGGGACCATCTGAGAGCCACCAGCTACTCACCAAACGATTCTCTTTGCCTCTTGCTTCACGGCAGAATTTTAGAAGTTCTTTCTCAATAGTGGTTGGTGAGAATGTGACATCCCTGTCTTTGAGGTCCTGGTAAAATCTTCCCAGGTAAGAAATGCAAACTGGAAAAGAGAGGGAAGGGAGCCGCTCAGCACCACCGAGTGAGTGGTCCCCTACTCCACAGGGAAGGAGCTGCTGCGACTTTAATAGGAGACAGAGATGCAGCATTACGGCTTTCCATCAGCAGCTTTTCTCTGGTGCCCATACGTGAACAGAACCCGGATCCAGGCTGCCAGGGTCCTCTGGTCCACTCAGGACGCTCGAGGTATGGACATCACCCCGATGACCCACATACGCCGCCTCCCTGCTCCTTTCATTAAGTTTTAAGACGAAAGTGAACAAGTGTCCTTGAAATGGGACTCACTGTGTGACCTCATAAATGGAGACTGTATGCTGAAGAGAAGCCATCAAAACGTTGCTCATCTCCAAATATAACACCGAACCCTGAAGTGCAGCTTCGCAACCTAAAACGGGCGCAGCATGCACAGCCGCCCTCGGGGTCCCGACAGGTCGGGGCCACTCCAGCGAGCCTCCGAGTAGTGATGGGAAGGGGCAGAACTCCGGCATCATGTGGACTTCTGGCCACGTTTTCAGCACGATCTAGTCTCCACTTTTTCTCATGGGACCAATGATTTCTAGGCCCCTCCTCTCTGCAGACCCAAAGGGACCCGGTCGCCGCTCCCGCCCACTCGGTGGTCTGGTAGGTCGAACACCGAGCGCGGACCCGGGGACCCCGCACCTTCGCAGTCACCCGGCCGAAGTGCCCAGTTGCCCGGCAGCACGCTCAGGGCCAGCGCCACAGCCAGACTGTGCGTAGCCAACATCCTCCACCGTCGCCGCCACTCGACTGAACCGCACCCGCCGGCCCGCGCCACCTCCGGGTCCTCGCGGCACTCCGGAGCTTGCTATTGGCTGGAGTCCCTAGCGCTCTCCCACACTCTGCGTTCTCATTGGCTTATGCGCCTCGGAGCCTAGCCCGGCGGCTCCACGCTGCCCTCCCCCATTGGCTAATGGTGTCTCGGCCCTAGACAGTTGTCGGCCGCTGATTGAGTCCAGTAGCCCGTAGGAAGTGGCTGCGACCGCGACGGAAGTTGCTGGGTTTGCCGTCTTGCGTTGTGGGCGTCTGCCAGTTGCTTGCTCGCTCGGCCACTCCGTGTGGGCAGTGCCTGCACACGAAACCGCACGGCTCACCCTCCCTATGGCCCCGACTGGTGGCGCAGGTCGGGCATCCTGGGGACTGCTGGGCTCTAACGGTGGAGGTGGGGCGAGCAGCCACAGGCGGAGCTCCGAGGTTTCTCTCAGCGTGTCTTGAACAGTCGCGTGGTCGCGCAAGCCTGCTAGGCCAGAGCCGCCTTGTCCGGTGGACTTTGCAGAGCCTCCCAAGAGGCTCGAAGCCGACCAAACCATTCAGCTGCCCTGTGAGGGAAGCACCCGGACAAAGGCTGCGCGTCCGGCTTCCAAGACCGGATTCGGCCCAGTTCTGGGACGCGCCCCGGAGCCAGCCAGCCCATCTCTTGCTCCCCTCTGAGCCCTCAGGGTCCCTGGCCGCCCAGGGTTAGCCGAAGAGGGGTTCCCTTCTAGTCTACCTGCTTTTGAAGCAGGGTGCAGGCTGGGCTGACTGGACAGAAAGATGTCTATGGGTTTAGGAGGGCTTGGAGCCCGGCGACAAAGGGGGTAAGAGGGGCACTTCTGCTCCCATTCATTGAATTCAGTGGCTCGGTATCAGGTATTCATCTTTAATTCACATCACAGCAGTCAAGGGATTGAGGAAAGGGAAGAAGTCAAGTGGAAGATATTTACATCTAAAATTCACATTACTTTTTGGATTTAGAACATGCTACCACAATATATACAGTAAAATACCTCTAGGGACATCGGTACAAATTTTTAAACTTTGCTTTTCTGGTACAGGTAAGATCATTTTTTAATCACTTTTTCTTTAGATACGAATACACAAAAGAAATGGTTAGAAGTTTTCTTGTTTTTAAATAAGCACAGAATGCCAGAGGTTAAAAACACATTTATAGGGCTGAATACCAAGTGGACATCACACTCTATACATTTTTTGCTCAAATTCCTGTACAAATACATAGCATTCAAATAGATATTTACAAATAAGCTTGAAAGAATGAAAATCAGTATTTCACAATCTTTTCAAAGGATTCTCATCTCTGGCCTTCCATTTCCTGTCTGACTGGCTGATTCTCCAACAAGAGATTCAGATTGTGTCCATGTCGTACAGTTAGGGAAAATGAAAGGGAAAACATTCATTTCACCTTGCACAAAGCAAGGGTAACCAGCTTATACTCCCCCACCCCCTACCTATACCACTAAGTGGAGAAGGTAGATGTTCTTATGTCCTGACTGCCTTGTCCAGGGTCCAAGGTTCAGGGAAGTGCCTGAAAATCTAAAGCAGCCCTCCTAAGAGATTACAGACCTTGTCCCTGACTCGCTAACAGCTGTGAACCTCACAGGATCCAAAGACCGAAGCCTACAGGAGAGTCGAGGCTTAGGAGCAGACCTACCCTTTGAGTTAGGGGCTGCCTTGACTGACCTATACCCTCAGCATCCTGACTGCCTGGAATGATGCTGAGAAAAACCTCACTAAGGATAAGACCCAAGCACCCTAAAGGTAACGGGGCCTTCTATCTTTCCCAGTAGGTTACTCGCTGGCAATTCTTAAGTTGGCATTTGTTTATTCAAGAAAACACCTTGACCATGGTCTTTTTCTGTTTGGAAAGGGGCAGTGAAGAAGGGATACAAGGCTAGGGTGCAGGGCAAGCAAAAGAGGAACTGGGATGGGGGAGAAAGGAACATGCCTGCTTAACAGAGAAGGGACTCTTGAACCATCAGAGTTGTGACCATCACTAATGTGAACTCAAGCAAATCAGATATTGTCTCAAGACAGTTAAAGTAACTTAAAAGCACCCTGGTAAAATACTGTTATACCCACCCCACCCTATTCCCAAATAATACACCAAGAGGAAAATCAGTGCCCTGACCTGAAAGTTTCCTATAAAGACACCACTTCACCCTGCCCAACAGACTGGGGAGGCTGGAGAAACTGCCCTCCTGCCCACCCCAAACCCTGAGTGGTGGTCCCTATGGGCCTGGATCGGGGTGCTATTCTTGGCCACTTAGGAGATGACAATTCCATCTATGTGGCTCTGCTTCCAAAAGGAAAAGTTCCCACCCTTTTTACCCAGGAGCTTGCTGAATCTGACCAAATGTCCTCACGGCCTGGAAGCTTGGCTGGGCAGCCAACTCCATGGCTCAGAGGTAGTGCTGAAAATCCCTGATTCAGGAGCTGATGGCAGGCATGGTGGCCACTTCTGAAAGCTTAGAGGATTTCTGGACCCTGCCACTGGCCTCCCTCATGCTAGTTCTAACACATGGGAAGGGGCCTCGCTTCCCTTAGGAGGAAGGTGGTTAGGGTAATCCCTTTGACTTCACTCATCCACTCAAGCCCAAGAGGGTGGGAGATAAGCCCTGCAGATCCATTCACTATGGAGGCTTCCACAGGTTAGGAGGTGTACAAGTGGAAGAGATGAATAGTGAGAAAGTGGCAAAGAGAGAAGTCCAAGGTGGGATGGGAGAAAAGGCTGGCCCATGGAAACCTGGCAATGTGCCCTAGGCATGCAGTTAGGCCAGTCATGAGCCTGAGCTGGCAGGTTGGCCTGGCCAGCCCTTCAGTTGCACACTCCAAGATGGAAGAGCTAGCAGGTGGGCAAGCCTTTGTGCAAAATGGCTTGTGGCCCCTTCATCCACCTGTGACATGTAGTCCATGTAGTCCTTGCAATCCCTGAATGCAATCATGAACTTTTCTGTCCATATAGCAAAGGAAGAGGTCCCTAGTGCAATTTCCATTCTTTGCAGCTCTGCTGTGAAGGGAGGGCTTGGGCTTCTGTTCCTGGCCCTGCAGTGTTACAAATCAATCCTGTCTGGTATTTCCACATAGTTCCACATGGTCTGGAACTGCAGGAGGAGAAAGCATCTACTGCATGAACAAAGGAAACCCCAAAGAAATGGAAATAAAAACTGAAAAAAGAAGCCACAAGCCTTCATGCTGCTGCAGCTTCTGAACATGGCAACACATGAGTTCACGGCAGTAGAACAGAGACTTGGGTGATTCGCTCCTGAGTGCCAAGCCTCTCCAGCTCCCTGGGGGTGGGGGTGGGGGGGCTTGCTTTTCAGACCTGGAGTGGACTGGTGAGCTGCTCACTGAAGGTGGCGTTGCAGCTTCTTTCCTGCCTCTCACTGTTCCCCTCGGCCATGCTCCCATGCCATGCGGGCCTGCTCCTCCTTGGTGCTCCCAGGAGGCAGTGAGGCCTTGCGATGCAGGCCTCTAGGCCTTTCAGCTTCTTCACGCAGCAGCACACCCTCGTCATGCTCCAGGGCTGGTAGGCGGGGATGGTAGGGCTTGGGTGGCAGCGCAGGCGGGTCCATGGGGTCCTGGGGGATGACGCACCCTGGGGCTGAGTGGCTTCGACATGGCTGGGCCTTGATGGAGTCCAGGACAGCAGACTCAGAGAGACTGTAGTGGACAGGGAGGTAGGGTGGCTCAAGGTCTTCATCACCATTCCAGGCCTGACTTGGCATGGAGTCTATGGTGTCGGTTCGAGGTGGGGCCTCAGAAGAGTGCCCAAAGTTACTCTCGCTCAAGGAGGACACACCGCTGCTGGCACTTCCAGACAGTGTAGAGTTGCTGCCGTCCAGGCCCGACTGGGGGCTGGTGGGGGAGGCTGGGATGGGGTGGAGAGGAGACTGTGCGAAGGAAGGGTTGGCACATTAGAACCCTCTCTAGATAGACTGGCTGGCCACCATGTGGAGACCAGGAGTCTGCTTACCAATGACTTTAACTCTTTATCTATTACATCTTTCTTTTTTCTTCAGCAGAAACCCAAAGGGGTACTTCTTGACCCTTAAGCAAACCAGTGGAGCTTCATAATCATTCCTGCAGACCTAATGATGGCCCTGCCCTGATTACTTGGCATTGATGTACCCAGAGGCCAGGTCCCAGGCTGCTCGCTGTAGCTCTAGGTTACTAATGGGTTGGGTGATGAGGTCAGGTGGAGAGAGCAGAAAGGACCCTGGTGGGCCATGGATCTGATGAATGTGTTCTCCTAAAACTTCTAACGGATCCAGTCTTTTCTGTATTTGCAAATAAACTAAACAGCAGGATTTAAATTTTACTTCCTGACTTAGTATAAGTTTTGGTGAACAATGCTTCTTGCTTTCACTGGACAGTAGTTTAAAAATCTCTATAATCCACCACAGGGATGTTTACTTAGCCATTGGGCTGTGGCACACTGATCGCCTGTGGTATTGGCAGAGAATACCAAAAGTTCTCAGTGCCCATTGCCCACACACTCCTGCTACTATGTGTTGTCTTTAAGACTCTCTAATTTCCCTCTCCTCACTGCATTTATTGCAGGATGCACTGATCAACTGTAGCCATGTGTGGTTTTCATCACAGCAGGCTTCTGCCAAGCTAGGCTTTCAGGGAGAAAATCAGGGAAGGGCTATTTCCTTTTGAGAACCCCAGCAGTGATTCTATAGCAGATGAGATGGTGGAAGAGCTATGGCTTCAGTACATTACCTTGCGCAGAGTCCGGGCAGGGAGAGCTGGGGGGATATCACCCAGAGGGTGGTGGAAGGCATCAAAGTGTAGGGAGTAATGACCTGCAAAAGGAACAGAACCAGAATCTCAGCTGGGGGCCTTTGCTCACACCGCACACCAGCATCATCTTGCTGGGCCACCTGGGAAGGTGTGGAAGAGTCCCCAGGGGACTCTTGAGCATTGAAGGCCATAGAAAAACTTTTCTGTACATTGATGTTCTTCAAAACACAGGCGGCTGTGCTGGACCCCCAGTTGACCAGGAAAGTTGAGTGCTTCAGAGCTTATAGAAGGACAAGCTGTAGGTAGCAGTAGCTCTGTCACACTGATGGGTTATGACAGGCTCATGAGTGGTGGTCTGGCATGGTTGATTCCATGGTCTTCAGCCTTCCTGGTTGGGGTGGTCTTACTGAGCTAAACTTTGAGACTCAGAAACCTTATTGACCCCAAAGCTCAGCAGGAACTTTCTTGCAGTGTGCATGCTTTTACTTTGATTGAGTTGGCCCAGAGTGACCTGTCTTTTCAGCCTGGATGTTGATCTGGTCCTTGAGGAAAGTCTGAGACCTAGGACTATCTGGGGGAACCCACTGGAGGTCTTACCATGCAGCAGGCTTCGGGGAGGCACTGGGGGGGCCAGGATGCACCCCATGTGGGCAGACAGGAAGGGCTGGGCCTCTTGGGCTCCGCTATCCAGGCTCCAGCTGCTGAGGGCTACTGGCACCACTGAAGGTTGGAAAGAGATGGGGTGAATGGATTATGTAAGCTACTTCTTGGGCCTGTCGTATAGCTTGTGGCTTCTCAAGGTATGAACTGTATAACTAGTATACATACAAGTGGCATGTCAACCTCTGGAGCTAAAACCACTGGCCAACCAAAGCACTGTGGCCCACAGGAAAATGGCTAAGGATTGAAGTTGCTTAAAAGAATGGCAATGAGCAAGCTTATGTTTGAAGAGCATTCTAGGTGACATAAATTGAGAGAAAGTACATAGGACAGAACAGCTGCAGTTTGGGATCTGCCATGAGAAGAGAAAACAGAAGGGAACAGAAGGAGAGAGCAGAACAGCTGAAGAGAATACAGAGAATGCAGGGTATAACTGCTTCCAAAGGCAAGATTCAACGCTCTTTCACTGTCCAGGCCATGTGGAAGAAGCCAAGAGTAGGATGGAGACAATCTGCCTCCTTTCCAAGCTCCCAGAGCATGGCCAAAGAGTGGACAAGTGCTCTGTCCCAAAATGGTACCCAAAAGGACCTGAGGTGCCACCCGAACTTTAACTTATTCCTCTTGCTTTGATGCCCACTTGCTGGGACTGGGATACTCAAGAGGTGTTTTGAGGCAAGGAGAGGTATTCAATGTACCTGTTGAAGGACAATGTAAAGTGCAGGTATTTCCATTCATGCCTAGTTAGACTGACTGCTTCCTGAGGGGAGGGAATGCTGTGAAGCCTCTAAATGCTTTGGTCATCTAGAAAATCATCAGCACACCATGAATCACAGTGGGCCCCAAACTTAGGAAGAAATCCAATGCCATAATACTGGCCCTTCAACGAGTCATGGTGAAAGACTATAAAAGGGAGAAGAGGAGCAATGGCTGGACCTTGGAGTCCAACAGTCCCATCCTGGAGGTACAGGAAAGATCACATGAAGTTTGGTGGCTTACTCCTAGAGAGCAAAATATCCATAAGAAGAAACATTTCTACTGAGTTCTAAGGCTTGATGGGAATCATGAGCCTCTGGAAGGTAAGAAGCTAGAGCCTGGTCATTGAGGGAATGACCAAGAGGATTGGTGCCCATAACAAGTCAGATAAGTGAGCAATGTCCATCTTTTTTTTTAGGGACTGGTGTAGGCTTGCAGCAGAAGACAGGTAAAATGCCACTATCTTTTTTTGGCAGAACTGGGGATTGAACTCAGGCCCTTGTGCTTGCCAGGCAAGTGCTTTTTCTACTGAGCCATCTCCCCCAGCCCTTAAAATGCCACTATCTAAATAGCCTCTGTTCTAAGAAGGGGTGCTTAGTTTCATAGTATGGTTAATGACTGATAGCAAGAAGAAAGGGCATGGCAGCCACTGGCTGGAGCACACAGTTGCTGCCTGCAAGGAGGAAAAAATTCTGAATCCAAGCAGGATTAAGTGGATTCCATTATAAGATTTCTTCAGGGAGCCTGAGCCACCCCAAGAACAGGTTTACCCTTGTCCAAGGCTTTTTAAAAGCATGTAGCAGAAGCTTATGATCCTCAGCAGTGACACTTCCTTGCAAAAGCAAAGCATCTTTGCCATAAAAAGCCACAGACCTCAGGTTATAAGCTTGGAGGTGGGTCTGAGTGGCTTTTCCAAAGAAACATCAACAATCCAAGGTTTCAGATGCTCAACCTATTCCTGGAAGAATTATGGGGCTGAAAAACTTTATTTGCAAGGGCGAGGAAGGCTATGGGAAAAGAAGCTGGCAAGGTTGCTATGGTTTACAAAATCAGCCTCAATTATGTGAACTACTTCATGTGAATTAGAAACCACCAAGTTGGGCCCTTGCCTGATAACAGTGAGGCCAGTGAACCTTTGCTGTACAACACAAGTATTCTGGGGCTAAGCAGAGGGCTAAGGAGGAAATAAATTGCTTTTTAGCAATTGTTCAGCACTGGTCTGAGATTCCTGGTCACAGTTCCTATCCCTGAAGGTAGGCTTGCCTGGCCCTGGAGTGTCTGCCTGCCAAAGGTAGATAGCTGAAAGGGAGAGGTTTTGTCCTCAGGTTTTTTAGGATTCTTGACAAAAGAATGGTGAGAGTTCTGGAAACTTGGGAAGTCACAATATGGCCTATATATTGCCACTGGGCAGATGTGTAGTTTTCCACCCAGTAACTGACCTTTTGGTGTGGACACACTTGTTCTGGGCTCAGCCTTCTTTATGAGACAACCTTCTTTCCCTCTCAGATGTAGAGTAGGCATGTCCAGCTTCTAACTGAGACCTGAAACTCTTCTGGTATCCAGTTTGGAGAATATATTGGTCTGGCTACCAACAATCATTTAAGCTTTGAGCTTATCTGTGTTCTTGTCTAGTTCTAAGACTGTTCTGCATCTCATGTAAAGAAAAGCCATTGTGGATTCTGGCTAAAAGGACACTTTGTTTGGGGTCATAGGTGCAGGAATCCAAGATGCTGCATGTTTTCAGGACATGGAGACTTGAAGCTAGGAAGGTGTCTTCAACAGGCCTTTTGTTGTTGAGTATCTGGTACCAATGCTGACCCAGTACTGAGACTGTAGACTCAATACATAGTCCCTAAAGAGGACACAGTGGTCCTTTTCCTCCATGTTGAGCAAGGGAGGAACAATGACAGGATAGCAGACAGAATTAGGTGAGCAGATGCAAAGCAAACATGATAGCTCTGGAGGGACATGTTCTGGTGGGGATGTGGGATGACAGGTACTGAAGGGAACTAAGTATACCCTGAATTCCAACAAATGGAGGAAAGAGGAGAATCTATAGGGACAGGGCTGATTTGGGGCCTGGTTCTTGGTGAGAGGAATGGTCAGCACTATTCTGGACTACAGGAAAGCATAACAGTCTCCTCATTTAGGTAATGCTCTGTCTTAAAATTAACTCAGGTGTCTGGGGTTTTAAGCCAAGGTCACTGAGGTTGGAGGCTTGTTCTTTTATCAGCTTGCAGGAGGAGAACACAAGCTAAAATGCCTTTATCTAAATAGCCTCAATTCTAAGGATTGCTCAGTCTCATGGTATGGCTGATGGTCTTGCTGGCCATAGTGGCTACAGGATGAAAGGACTCCTTTAGAACATGCAGGCTTCTTTTGGAGAAGCTTGTCTTTAGGAAATTCACTTTGTAAAGGTGTTTTTTTTTAATTTTTTTATTTTTATTTTTATTCTTCTTGTGGGCTTTTTGGCCACAGGTCTGTTCTGCACTCCAAGGGAGGTTCAGGCTGAGAAAGAACAAAGGGACTACAGGGCTTAAATTCTTGACCTGCTCAGGACAAGCCTATGGGAGTGATTACGGCCTGACTTTCCAAAAAGGTGGATTCAGGGCAGCTGGAAACAGGGGCCTCTTTGAAGGCAGACCATGGGAACAGGGAGTGATACAAACAAACAGGATCTAAACCTGATGTGGGTTAAACAATGGGCAGAAGAACTGGTCAGCACTCTGGACAGATCAACAGATCTGAGTGTTAGGGTGTAGACCTGGGCAGGATAAGAGTCAGATACTCAAGATGTAGACAAACATGGAGGGACGCCTAAAAGAAGAGTACAATACCTTTTTCAGCCACAGACAGATTGGGATCACTGCAGGGTTTACAGGGTCCAACCACTTGCTGGAACAAGGCCCGCTGGAAGTTTGGTGACTGAAGGTAGGAGAAAAATATCAAGAGTGTGAAAACAGTGTTATGTCATGGGGAGACAATGCTATGGATCACAGGAGCCAGTATACTCTAAGAACAGACAGGTAAATCAGAGCAGTGGGATGGCGTCTGCTTGAGATGTACTGAGAACGCCAGATCAGCCTTGGAGAAGACTGTCCAGGGGTACCTGGTTTTGAGCACTTCCATGATCAAAGCACCACCCATGTGTCTTATGCAAGGCCCCAGAGAAAAGGACACAGGTATCTCTTGACTATCTAACAGATTACATCATCCTGTTTGGTTAAGGAGTTCCACTGGTAAAAACGATTTAAGAACTCCCACTTTACCCATGAACTCTGACAGATTTTGCTTCCTGAGGAGGCCCCACACAGTTTCTCATTAGCACTAAAGAAAGGGTAGACCCAAGCATGGACTTATACTGGTCCTGTTGTTCTGATGTGAGCCTTCCAAGCAGATCCATCCTTTCTGCTTGGTAGCACTGATCAGGCTCAGCATGTACCAGGAAGAAACTCCTAGCACTGTAGGGATAAGTGCCAGTCACTTAGAGATGACTTTTATGGACTCAGAATGGCACAGGAAAACTACCCAGGGGAGAGAGTTAATTACTACAGCTTTCTGGTCTAGACCTACAGGCAGGCAGGGTTTTTGGAGAGCTGCACAAATTGTATGGATAGCAGCTCCAGAAGGCAGTGAGGCCAGACAGACAAAAGAGGCAGATCCTACATGGATGCCCTGTACACACAGAGGAGAAGGATACTTGCCAGCCTTGTGTTTACCATGGCCTTTTTGGGATGAGTTGCAAGAACATGTTCCTCTGCCAGAGGAAGGTGAGATAACGGATCCAGAAAGCTGGCCAGAAGAATAGCTAGTCACACAAACAATATTTGCTCCAACCCTGGTGACACACCTGTATTGTCTGGATTACTGATCCTCAGATATACTGTGCTCTCCATGTAAGAGCTAACAGCCTTTCTATAGCAGAATGAGGGAGGCATGCAGGACAATGCTGAAGGCCCAACAAATGCAATGAAGGAAGCTCAGGTCAACACATTTGTAGCAGAGACTGGGTTTGCTACCTGTCCGTTCTCCAGGATGGCTGCTGGATACATGGCACTGCTTGGGCGGTCCCGGTGGGTGGGCAGCAGCAACATCATTTCCCGGGTATGGCGGTACTTATCTGGCAGAGAGGGAGAGCCTGTAACCAAGTGAGAACAATCACGCACAGATGACAAACCATAAATGGAGGGCCCAGTTATCAAGTGTCCGCAGGGCTGGGGAACCAAGGTAGGTATCCCCTACAGGTAGGGAGAAATGAATTCAGCAAATATAAGAGGAATGAAGTAGAACCTAGGGATTAGGTGGTGGTTGGTGCTGTATCCAAGCTGAGGCAGACTTACTGATAGAGCCCCACCCCTCATGTTCAGGGGTTAAAGGTTATGAGAATTGGCTGGAATAGGGTATTGAGGTGCCTCTGCACCCAATGCTTTCAGGGCCTGGCTTTGGCCTGAATGCTGGGCTTTCTCAGGGGACCCAGGCATGGGCACAGGCCAGCTTTCAATGGAATCATCAAAAAAAAAAAAAAAAAAAAAAAAAACAAAAAAAAGACAAAATCACTTAGAATTACACATTTTGGGGTTCCATACACTTACCTTTCCCTGATATTAGTGGCTCTGTTCTTGCCTGATTCCCTAATTCTTCTTCCAAAAGAATGTTCCTTTCAGATTTTAGACCCCCAGAATTTGATCTCTACTTTCCTGCCAGTTCCTTGTTAAGCCTTACACCCAGGGTAGCTGGGGACCTAGAGCCCTCCACACATCTGTCTTTGAAACTTGACTCTCGTTGGCTCAGGGACATAGGACTAATTTAGAAGCCACAGTGTTTTAACTTAGCTTCCTGAGCTGACTTGGTTCATAGTCTCCTGTGAGGCCTCTGGAGTGACTTCCTTGGCTAGAAGAGATAAAAAGGAGACCAGACCACACTGGTGTGATGTAATTCAGTTCCCAAGGATTCAGGCCACCATAACTATAGGTTGACGAACTTGCCAACCTTTCACAAAAACAGTATAACTTGCTGGTTTTCTGGGGTGTAATTTGGATAGCCCTTGAGATGTACACACTTTACTGTCAGATACCAGGCACATTCAATGCATCTGGTTGACTAATGTGGCTGCAACCCCTCTTTGGTGTGTGCCTTGAGAAGCTACATGGTTGAGATCAGGCTATGGGCTCCAGCTGAGAGGTGAGTCTTCTGCTTCCAGAGGCTCCATGTTTTTAAAACCCAATGTCTCTATGGCTTTCCTTCAAGTACACGGTGCTAGCATTGTTAAGACATGGCTAAAAGAAGGTGGCGAGGGCCCCCGGACCCAATGCTTACCCAGATTTCCTCAGGAATATTTGAGAAATTCCTTGTGTATTCACTTTTGTTCAAGGAGAGGTTTATATACTTCAAAGAAATCATAGGGCTAGGGATATAGCTCAGAGGCACAAGTGCCTGCCTGGCAAGCACAAGATCTTAAGTTTGATTCCCAGAACCAAAAAAGAAACAAAAAATCAGCATAATAAGTACAAGTAATACAACTTGTCCCAGTTACTAGTTATATAACTTCTTCCAAATTTGTCTGAGCATTCCTATTTGTAGACATTTAGGCCTGGCTTTAAGACCTGGTTATATGATAATGAACAAGTAAAGTATTACAGTATTCCCTGAAAAACTTTGCCTGAATTTTCTCCTTCTTTGTGGTTTTTCAGTTTTCTATATTTTCTTTTAGAACTTATGCTCTGAGGCAACCTCAAAATGATGGCTATGTAAAAAAAAAGTAGAAAGGTCTAATGCCCACTGACTTGTGGTGTCCTCCCACCACAGAATGCTGTAGGCCAGGGTTTGGGGCATGCTAGTCTCCATTTAGTATGTACAACAAACAAAAAACAAACACAAAGTACCTTTACACACCAAATTCTTCATCAGACACCTAATGCTCATTCCACACCAGACAGGTGCCTGGGACTACTTCAGGCTGCTCATAGTTTTTCACCTCAGAGGTCATAGGCTGCCTTCAAGGCCAATGCCACATTTGTTTATTTAACACCCTGATTTATTGGAAGACTATGATAGAAGGACATTAGCCTTAAGGCCTAGGGAGGAACTGAGACTCTGTTGAGGATTTGGATTAATTTTATGGCCACCTCTCTGGTGCTATAACAAAGGAGTTCCACACTAGCACTGTATTTTTTAACTCTATTGCCTCACTTTCCTCCCACTGCCCTCTGTCCTGGAAAGCCAGTTCAATGGTAGGAAAGTAATGGTTACTTTCCATGAAGATATTTAGGACTTTTGAACTACTTCAATTGTACCTTGATATTTTCCAAGGAGGCTAAGTCCCAGTGAGACTGGATAACTCAGAATTATGCAAAATCTGTTTTCTACCTTGTTAACCTTTTGACCATCAGGGGGAGCTGATGACTTACAAGAGTTTAGACTGTCTGCATGCCTTTCAGCTCAGAGGTTTCCAAAGCAACAGAAGCCATAGCAGTGTTAGTGGATATGGCAAGGAAGGCCACTAATCTTATGACTACTCCTAGGAGTAGGGAAAAAACTCCAGTGTAAAAAATCTGCTTCTGGCCACCTCCATGAAGGCTTTCTCCCCACTGGTAGCAAGAACAGAAACTCCAAATGGGGTAGATCATTCCCTCTCTTCTTTGTCTAGACTGCATTTACTATTGTATTTGCCACACTTATTTGAAAACATCAGTTTTCTTTATGTCACACACATTCTTCTGACTTTTTTTTTCTTCTTCTGGCTTCTTTTACAGGGCCTGATACTCTGCGTAGTAGACAGTGTACCTGCATACAGACTATGAAAGTTGTGGTCTAAAAGTGACTTTTCTTTTTTATTACCTCTATCCTTGTCATCATTCTCAGCTTTGGGCTCAGTCCTACTGAACCATTTTATTTACTTCTGTACTTACTGTCTATCCCCAAAAGGGAAGGAGCTTTTTCTCAACTTTTCTCTATGTGATATTCTAGAGTCTGGCCATTGTGATAGTTTGTCTCTCAAAATGTTGGCCATTTACTGCCTCCCTACCCTCCCAAAACATATAAGCCATTCCTTGTAATATGAAGTGAAATCTTATTTCCTTTCCTGGCATTTGAGTTGGTTTTGAGTGACTTGGCTGGCCAGTAGAAATATGGCAAAGGGACTTTCTAGGATATCAAATGCTGGGTAATAAAGAGTGTTGCAACTTTTGTTGGGGGTCTCTTAGAATGCTTTCTCTGGGAAAAATCAGCAGCCATGTTGAGAGATTGATCCTCTCAGAAAAGTCAAGTATAACAATACAAGTTGACAGCCTCAGCTGTAGCCCTCCTCAACTGGCAGCCATGTTAGGGAGCCATCTTGAATGTCAAGCCTAACTGGAACTTTAAGTGATTCTGGCCCACATCTGACACAGTGAGCCCTGTTAATTCACAGAATATTGAGAGATGATACATTGTTATAACTACATCTAAAACTTAGGTATAGTTTATTATGTAGCAACTAGATAACCTAGGCACTTGAAATAAGGAAGGGTTAGTTCTAGACAAGGAGGAAATACTTATTCTTATGTCGTGTTCTCTGATGCAAGAGCCAGGCATCTTTCTACTGAGCACTCAGTGAAAACTCCATGCCTGAATAAATCAGTAATTGGTTAGCTGGAAGGATGTAAGCAGTAACATCTGTAAAATCTATATTATCCCTGATAGCAGCCATAGGCTACAGGCATATCTGAGTAATACCAGAGTGATACTAAATTAAAATGTCTTCCTATTGTCCTTATCACCAATCACAACTCTGATATATCACTTCATCAGGAATAGCCAGATATGGACAAGATATAGCTGAACATATGTTAAAAGAGATTTTATGTTAGGGCAAACAATAAAACCCAGACAGAATTATAAAATCTGTTTCTTCAGCCCTAATCAGAGCATTTAGGTAAATGACACTAAATACTAACCTCAACTATAGCATTTATGTCTACTTCTCTGTGTTTCCTTTTTGTTCTCAAAGTATTATGGTTTGTGCCTGGATGTCCCCCTAAAGCCTCATGTAGGTATAGGGGGATGGGCTTTTCAGAGACAACTGAATCTAGAGTTTGTAATGGATCCATGGTCTAATGCTGTGTGAGTGCTATACCCACCCTAGGGCAAATAGCCTGCATACAATATGAGGAACAGAAAGAAGCTTGTCTCTTGCTCTTCTTACTTTTGTTGTCTTCTGCTATGAATGGTTGCCTCTCTGCAATGAGCACACCCTGCCTTGGAGCCAGCAGATTATGGATTGAAACCTCTACAAACAGAGCTGAATAAATCTTTCCTCTTTTAACATTGAGTGTCAGCTATTTTATCTTATCAATGAGAAAAATAACGAAGATACAAAGCCATCTTTCATTGTGCCTATTTTACAACAGAAATCACTGTTGCTTCTTTGTGGCCTTCAAATACTGGCAAGTCTTTAGCATGTACCATTTTATGGGTTCATTGTTTTATTTAACATTATGGGATCTATCTATCTATCTATCTATCTATCTATCTATCTATCTATCTATCTATCTATCTATGGAATCCCTCTATCTGGCTCTCATAGTCCATGTTAGGAAGACAACATGAATGGTAAATTGGATATAAGACTGTGGACTATTAAGTATAAAAATATGTAATCCAAATTCAGCTTTCTGCCCTCTCACTAGACCTATCTCCCCATAGGAATGAGAGGGTGTACTGGATACTTCAGGTAGAAGTCTTTGACTGCCCTGTTGGAACATGATAACTTGTTTTAACTACATCTAAGACTCTCCTCCACTCTGCCAAGACTTTTCTCAGTTGGCCATTATATCTTTCAACTATGCCTACACTGCTTTGTTTTCCCCATCACTTCTACTGTGGGCCTCAAAGGTTTGTGTGTTTTGGAGAACATTATTTCTTAATGATTTCCTATGTGATGAGTTTGTGGGTTTTTGTTTTTTGGTACTGAAAATAATGAGAAGAATAAAAAAGATCCCCTCCCTTTAAATACTGGAAGTAAGAGCTAGTGACTGACTTATGGGCTCAGACTATTGTTACTATCCTATATAACCAACTCTGGGAAGCACTACACCAGTGAACCTATGGCATGCAGGCTATAGGAGGCTGTTTGTGTCACTGAAAGCTCTAAAAGGCTTGCCATTACTGCAATAGACCTTACATACCACAGCAGATTTCATTCCATCACTAAGGTTTTTTTATCTAAAAGGGTAGAAATGATTTTCACTGAAGGAACTGCGGTCAAAATGTGGAAAACATAGTGGCTCTTGGAGAACAGTGTTTTCTCAGTTGACTAAGCAGTTGACCAAGCAGTGACTGACAAAGGAAATAAGTTTTTACAGCGCCATCTCCTCTGATTAAGCCTTTCCCAACTGAAGTCTTTGTTAATTGTTACTGTTTTAGAATAACATTTTCCAGGGTCAATTTTAGCATTCAAATTTACTTTTCATATTTTGTCACCATGGTTGACTCCTCAAGACAAAAAAAAAATCTTATTTTTGCCTCAACTTTGCTCTTTATTATTGCAATCATTTCAGTGGGAAAGGACTGTGCTTTCTCTTAGGCTGCATCCTCTTACTAAGGTGGAATCACTGCCAGGACAGGGTCTACAGTTAGAGAGAGGGGTGTGGATGTGGAAACCCTCAAGTCAAATAAGCAGTCTCTAAGTCACAAGCCATTCTCAAAGACAGCCACAGATGAAAGGAAAACAAGTGGGGTTCACAACACTTTCTTGTCCCTTCTGTAGACAACACCCTGCCATCTTACCTCGGGCACTGGAAGGGGCAGAAGTAATCATCTGAGATGGTGCTGAGTGAGTAGAACTCAGGCTGGAGGAAGAAGGGCTTGCCTGGGATGAGGACAGTACAGAGACATTGGTGACTGAGCCCTGGTACCTGGGGTTGGGATACGCGAGCTGGAAAGGGAGAAAAATCAGTAGGATAGACTTGAATGGCTAGGACTATGGGGCTGACATAGAGTTGGCTTTTTCATACTTTGAAGTGACCAAGAACCAGCATCTGAGGCTGTTACTTTGGACCCTGACAGAGGCCAGGCTGACAGCCAGCACTAGGGACTACCCATACCATCCATACAAGGCAGGGCTATTGAAGTGGTCCTTTTATGGTGCCCATAGAGGAAGTAGGATGAGGCTGTTACACAGAAATGCCAAGCAGGAGAGTAATATGGCAGGAGATCTTTCCCATGGGATCTGTGGGAGTAGCTAGGGCTGAGGCTAGATTTCCTTCTTGGGAAATAAGATTAGGAAGGAAGGCAGCTTTGTTAGCTCTAGAGGAAGGAATTCAGGAACCAGAGAAACAGGCAGGCTTGCCAGCCCTCACATCAGATCCTCCACCAGAAAGGTGAGACCTCTAGGTATACTCTGACCATTTTCTTTGACCAGCTCTGGTACCTGCATGTGATGGTACAGGTCCTCAGGAGCCTCGCTCATGGCACTGTCTCCCATCATCACCACGTTTCCTGCTTCACTAGATGCATGTGAAGACAGAGAGGAAGACGAATGGCGGCCTGTGCCCATCAAGTTCATGGGGCTGTAAGCAAGAATAAGAAACAGAAGAATCAGGCCATGGCTGAGAAAGTGTGCTGAGTGGTAGTGGCAGTAGAGGGATGTGTGAAATGGTCATTTCCAAGCTGTGGCCACCACTGGTTTGGAGGATTCCATAGCCAAGGTTCATATCTATTAGAGACCTGGAGCAATCCTGATCCTGCCCTGCTGCTCAGGAGCCCCTGGCTGGGGAAGGCCCATGGTATGCTGGTATACCCTATACCCAGAGTTAAATTACTTATGATCACTCAGTCTGAGGATATTAAAAGTTTCTAAAAAGGAATGAAAGAAAAATGTTCACAGAGTCAAGGATCCTATGCGCTTCTTGCTGTGGGATATTAGTTGGAGCCAGGGCCTACTGCTGCCTGCACCATGAAGGGATCTGCTCATAGGCCAGAATATCTTCTTGGTATGGGGAAGCTACCTAAATAGCTAGCATGAACTATCTGTGGGCTTTCTTCTACACCTGTGGCTACAGGTTTGACAACAGCTCTCCTCAATCAATACCAGGAAGTGCTTCATAAATTTGTTCCTTCTTATGTACTGGCTCCTCACTGTGTGCTAGATTGTTGCTCACAATAGAAACAAATCTGGCCTTCCTGTCCTAGACTGTGAGTATCCTCAGTTGAGCCCAGCAAAGCTAGGAATCCTGAGTTTCCAGTAACACACTTTGACATATTACAGTATTTTTCCCCCCTAAAACTAATTAGTAGTCAGGTGTGGTGATACTATTCTATTTTAGTCTAATTAAATTCATGACAGAAACTTCTATTTGTATACCCTTCCAAGTAACAGCATGCTGGTTTGTGTTCTTGTTTACAATTCTGAGAAAATAAAGGACAACATTCTAGGTCTCAAGTCCTCCATAATCTATGGTGAACACAGGCCCTATAATCCTACCACTCAGGAGGCCAAGGCTGAGGAGACTCATTAGGAATTTAGGATCAGCCTGGACCACTACATAATGAGACCCTGTCTTAAAAACCAAACCAAACCAAACCAAAACAAAAACAAGTTTGTGGTCCTCATTCCCCTTGGGGTCAAGTCCAAAAGTGCACATGAATAAGGCTCACTTGGAGCTGGTCCTGCTCTCCTTTGTGGCCCAGAATCCTGTGCCACAGCTACTTAGCTCTCCACTCTTAGTGCAGACCAGACTGGCTGGCTTGTGTCTTGAAGCTTTTGCACATGTCAGTCACTTTCCTAGATCAATCTTACTGCATTACTCTCCTAGTCTCAACTCTTTTCTGCATAAACTTCGAATTATCTGTTAAAACTTACTCAAATGTCCCCTCATTCCTACAAAACCATGTATATTCTTCTGTCCAGTGTGACTGGATATTGACTGGGGTCCTATGGCAGGAACTGTGGTAGGGATGTGAACATGAGTAAGAGGAAATATGAGCACCCAAAATCACTCTCTGGAATGCCTATTCTCTGATGCTTCTCTTTCAGACTTACCAGTAGGAAACCTTTGCTAGCTCTAAGGCAGTACCTGTGCCGGTGGGACATCTTGATGTTCTCAGGGCTCATGGGGCTGTGGGATGCCAAAACATTTCCCCGTGGAGTGCTGTTGCCTGAACAAGCAGGACTTAGCTTATCCAAACCTGGAAACTCCTGTTGAGAAAGGAATGCTCATTTATAGAAAGTAAAGAATAAATAATTAAGGGATAGGAGGGAAAAGTAGGCTACAAGTTAGATATAAAAGGGACAAAAGAAGATCATGTATTGTACTTCTGACTTCTTTTGGGCAATGACTTCTCAATGGATAACCACTCTTCTACTCCTCTGGAGCCTAGACCACAGGGCATGAAGTCTTAGCTTGATGCTGTGAAGAGAAGCTCATCTGGATAGTTGGTTGGTCTGACCTGATAGGGCTTTGTGAACAGGTTTTTTCACTATAGTTACAGCAAAGGCTGAGAAAGAGGAGAGGAAGTGTTCATTATCTGCTGTCAGTGAGAACATCTTACAGAAGGACTGGGGCTGGGATTTATTAGCTTGTTAAATGGCCCAGCTCTTAGTGACCTGAGTTAGGTTGCCTATAACAATCTATGGGGGAAACAGAAAACAAAGTCTTGATGAAAAACAGGATAATTCTATTTTAGTCTAATTAAATTCATGGCGGAAACTTCTATTTGTATACCCTTTTGAATAACAACATATTGGTTTGTGTTCTTGATTATAATTCTGAGAAAATAAAGGAAAACATTCTAGGTCTCAAGTCCTCCATAATCTATGGTGAACAAAGGCCCTAAGTCTATCAGAGATGTTTTGGTGCTTTGCTTTCTCTTCTTCCAAAATATGCTTCTGTATCCCTGGAAGGCACCTCTCTACAAACATACCAGGGAGCCTGATATGAACTAGAAACCATTCTGTGCTCTTTTCTTCAGTTCCCTGACTGCCTGTATGGCAGAATCTCTCCCTCATGGCCAGTTTCCAGACTGTAAGAACAACCTGCTATGACAGGAAGGTCTGCATACTGCAGAGACCAGCCAAACCAGGAGGAGATAGTTTAATGAGAAATGATGAAATGCAAATAAGATTAAGTGATGGATCAAGTTCTTTACTAAATGGATCCCCAATTTTAAGGGAGAAACATTCTCTTCATGTTCTACCTTGAAACACTACAGGATAATCCTAGGAGGAAGGAGAAATGTATGTTCTACAGGCTCTTTTTTTGGGGGGATAAGAATGTCCTCTCTCAAACTATGACAAGCTTCTTTTCCTCTTTTTACTTTTCATGTTGTCCATATTTGTGCTGAAAAAGGCTGATAGCTTCACTAGGAGTTTGGAGAGACGGAGATGACAACTTACAGCATCCAAGAAGCAAGAAAATATGTTCCCAGCTGGTCAGGTCCGCTGAGTGGATAGTCCAACCTCTCCTAGGGCCTCTGTACCAAAGGTCATCCCTAAAGAGGAATTTCTTGTCCATAACATCTTGGCCCAGCATCTAACAGCTCTCTTCTCTTGTCTCCCTGCAATTATGAGTAGCAGGGACTATCTAGAAGTCTTAGGTAATGAGGAGAAAGCTTTGCCTGAGAGGCAGGCAGTAGTAGGTAACTGGGTTCATATCCTTTGAGATGTAAGAATGTTTATCAGGGAAGTTCCTATAGAAATTATTTGTTTCAACCAGTCCCATGGTTGACAACAGAGTGATTCTACATAATAGGAGATTCAGGGTCACCTCAATCCTGTCTTCATTTGACCAACATGGGACCCTGCCAAAGAAAACTAGTTCTAAATGACATGCCCTCCCTGTATATATCAGTCCATGGTCCAAAACCTGGTGGAAGCCAAAAATTCAAACCAGTGTGGAGACTTTCTGGGCCTGGTCTAGTCTCAGAAACCATCTGATACCTTTAAGAGGAGTGGGCATGAAAGCACCAAAGACTTTCTCAGATGTAAACCTGGGTCATTAGATATCATGGAGAAAGTTGGGGTGGGGGCAAGAAAGGAAGGAAGAAGGGAGTTAGAGAAGGAAGAAAGAGGGATATAAGGAGTAGAAAAATGAAGATGGGGAAGGAGAGAGAAGAAAAGAGATGGGAAGCTAGTTCAGGCCATACTTTTAACTTTTCGGGTTCTTAGAATAACATCTCTAAAGATCCCTACAAGTAAGGCATATACTTTGGTTTCTTTTCTCTGCCTATGATAGCTTCTGTATTAACACAGTGCCCTGAAAAAGTTCTTGCCCTTGAATCTCACTCCTTTGGGAGTAAGTGAATTAATGAGAGGACCAAGAGAATTCCTGCCCTGGATACAGCACTGATCCTCTGCCTCCTGCCACTCTGTGGTGGGGACAGCTTCTCTTTTTCCTCTCCCCTCCCCCCAACTTTTCCTTGGCTTGTGGTGCAGGTCTGGAGGAAGTGGAATCTTGTTGTATTGCAGCCAGAGGCAGGTCAGGGATTAGCTTACATGGTAGAGACTTGCCCGCATCATCTGGAACTGATCAATCAGCTTCTTATGCAGAGGCCGCATTTCTGGATGCACAAATTTCTCATGAACTGCTAGTCCAACTCCAAGAACATGGACCTATGGGGGCGACAAAGCCTCTACGTTAAGCAGGAAGCAGCTCCTGAGAACTGCAGCAATCTTACAGTGTGTGGCCTTTCCCAATACCTGCAGGCCCCTAAGCCCTGCAAACCATACCTGCTCCTGCATAAGCTCCTTGAGTTGGGTAATCTTCTCAGCATCTCCTGGGTGCTTGGTGATGTAATCTTTATCAAAGAAGGCCTGGAAGGGGAAGTGTCAGGTTGGAAAAACTCTTCTAAGGATCACTACTTAAATAGGGCCTCAGAAGCCCTAGTACAAAGGCAGCCAGGCTGCCTCACAGATATGTGTACCACCACCTTCAGCATAGTCTACTAGAACCTCTGGCAATTACAGACGTGTTTCTGTGAGAAAGATGGGAAATGGCCAAATCATTTGAACTGGATGCTAGCCTCAATCCTTCATGAAGCCTGGATGGCCTGAGTAGTACAGGTAGGACTAGTGGCCCAGAAGTTGGGGCGAGCCTTTTTATCCAGCTCCACAATTCACTTTTTATGAAGGACTGGCCCTCCAGGGCTCCCCGTGGAGGATACTTAACATCTTGCCATTAACTAATAGATTATCCACCTGAAAGAGACCAGAGAATAAAAGCAAAAGCTCTGGGAGAACTGTGCTACTGAAAGGAGTGTCTTAAGGCCTCATCCAAGAATGACTGTAAGTTAGCTTAGCCAGGAAAAGATAGCTGGGAAAGCTCCTCAAGGAGGCTGTAGTCTAGAGAGACTATAAATTACCTTCCCAGCCAGGTTGCCTGTGCAGATTTGACTTGGGGTCTCAGCTCACCTCCTGGTAGCGTGCAATGCCTCCATTGACAGCTGCATCAATCACACCATTCAGGCACATGCTGAGGAGATTGATGTTTCCATGAACCTGCTTGTGTTGATACTGGCTGATTAGGGCCCGCAGTTCCTGGTTCTTATTCTCAACCACTTGGATGGCATTCTCCAAAGGGCTCACCTCCACCTATGGGTACAGAGCAGACAGTGTCCTCCCAACAATGATGATGACCCCTCATCACTGTCCTGAAAGCAGGGATCTATGACTTATGATGCTGAGTCCCCTTCCTTACTCCTGAGGACTCAGTACTCCCTGGGCCTTGTACTACTTTTTTGATTTGTAGGAATTTGAAAAACAGCATTAGGGAAGAATAATAGTTCTAAAATCAGAGAGCTCTGGATTCCTGAACCTCAGAGAACGGTTTTCTCCTTTGAAAACTGGCATTTTTTGCTGTGTGGTTTAGATGAAAGAAGGTACACAAAGCTCCCAGTACAGGATTGACCTGGGGGAGCCAAGGACAGGCAGGTGGCTAGAATTGTTTCTTTCTTCACTCAGTCCTTAGAGAAAGCTCCCCAGAGCCATGGCTTGAGGGAGCAGCTGAAATTCAGCCCCATCTAAGGCATATCTTACCAGTTCCCTCCTCTCCACCTCAAACCAACGAGAGATGCCAGGCAAGCTGTGAGTCAGGGTTAGTGTAGTGCGCTCGATCCACAGGCTCTGCAGGGGAGGGCATGGGGAGAAGCAGGCAGTCAGGCACTCTGCCTACCTGAGTGATGCAATAACTGAGTTCTCAGGCTTTCCCCTGGTTTCCTAGATTTGTTCACCTTGAATTCATTCTCTTTGTCCTTGGGGCCTTTGTGGAAAGGTCTGTCGTACCGGAACTTCCTTACATTGTTGACACGATAGAAGCTCTTGACACGATCCGGGACCCTATCCATCTGCAGAACATCCACATAATCTGGGATAGGTGTCACTGCATAGATCTGCAAGTCTGAGTTTGAAGTGAAGGGGAAATCCAGACTTGCCAAAGAGATAGGCCTGCATGGCTGACCCTGTCATCTTTTTAAATGAGAAAAACACATAATAGCTCTTGTTTCCTACAGGTGGTGGTGAAGGAGGCAGATTGTTTCAAGGGGCAGATAACATCCAAGTACAGTAAGACAAACCTATCTGCCCCTTGTTCCTTCCCATTCCAGCAGTGAGTCTCCTGGGTACTTAGCCAGGGTCAGATAGCAACAACTAAGTGCCCTCTGATGCCCCTTGAAGAAAGGTAAGGATGAGGTCAGGATAACGCAATGCTCATCACCCCACTGGAGTGAGAGAAGGTTGTAAGGACTCTGTCCTACTCATTTGGTTTTTTTTATCCTTTTTTTCTGCCCTACTCATTGTAGGTAAACTATATTTATTAAAATAAGCTTTCAATAACATACGGTAGTATCTAAAGTCTTCATGGAAAGAAACTATATGGGAATCTACTTGACTTCACCTCTCTGGAACAAGTTTGGCACAGTTATAGCAACTGTAATGTGGCTCCCAAGGAAGCTGTGTAAGGGGGATGGTTAGAGACAGGCCACTGTTTGCACCAGAGTGCAATCAAACAATAGACACTTTTAGTCTCATCTTCCTCCCTACACCCCTGGTGCTCTGCTCCATTCTACCTGACAAAGACCAGGAACAAAAATAATGCACAGGGAAGTAGAACAGGGAACAGCAAAGTATAGTTGCTGTCCCTGTGACAAGAGTCATAGTGGGACCCTAATCACCTTGCATAGTGATTGCTCCTGACTCCCTGGCAAGCCCCTCACAGAACAGAGTGAGGGTTAAGCTACTGGCAGTAGCCAGCCAGGGAAGCATCTCCCTGAGCACTGTTGATAGACCACTTATAGGGTTAAGGACATACCTTGCCTCCTCTGTGAGGCATGAGTGCCTTGTTAAGTGTGGGCTCAATGCTGAGGACACATTCAGGTTTAGGATTATGGGTAATCTATGGTTGGAAGGCCAAAATGGTAGAGGGGAAGCTGACTGGGTGGGATGCACCCCTTGGAATTCTGGCCCTCCTCCCCCTACCAGTGTCAAAAGATACACTGTGCATCGCACTGTAGGATGGCATCATCAGGATGATTGGGGTGCTGCATAGCGACGGCCTGTGGGAACTCGCTGAGCATCCTTTGCTGGAAGGCCTCCAGTCTCTCATAGTCATGGCCACGGCACACATATTCCTTGTTCTGCCAAAACCATACAATCATGAGATCATTATGCCCTGCTTGTGATCCCCCACCACCACATAAACTAGGAGCCTCCTTTGTACTATGCCCTGGGCAAACATAGGCAGAGCACTCAGTCTGTAATAAGAGAAGACAGCTAAGGAGGAAAAGGGACAAATGAAGGCAGAATTGCACTGTGGTGTGGCAGCCCTGAAGATGAGGTTCAAGTAGTATACATAGCTGAAAAGAAAGTGTATGAGGATAACTAGTGGGAGGGTGGCTGAGGAGTCACCACTATGTCAGTCACCACTAAGGGTACTATCAAATACTTTTTTTTTTGCGGAACTGGGGATTGAACTCAGACCCTTGCACTTGCCAGGGAAACACTTATTCTACTGAGCCATCTCCCTGGCCCCTATCAAATACTTTCAAATGGGCAGGTAGTCAGGAAGGAGAAATGGTCTAAAGAAATGGTGCTTTTGAAGGAGAAATGGTCTAAACACTGTCCAGTGACCATTAGGTATTGAGCAATTGTTTGTTGCACTGATAAACCTCTTTGGTACCAATTTCCTTTGCAAACATGTCAGCAAAGCAAACTGACATCATGAAAACTACACTTTTCTTCTTTCTTCATTTCCTCCTTTTCTTTTCTTTCTTTCCCTCTCTCTCTCCCTCCCTTCCTTCTTTTCCAGATTAGAAATTAGGACCTTGCACTTGCCAGGCAGGCACTTATGCTGCTGAGCTTTTTCCCTGGCCCCAACTACACATTTCTTAAAAATGTATGTCATATATTTGGCTTAGGATAAGTCTCATTTTTCTCCTTGTAGCTGAAGTCTCCTTGTAAGCAAGACAAACCCAGGCCTCCTGCTCTGCTTATCATATAACTGGTCATGACTGGGTGACTGGAGGAAGTCTGTCTGAAACATGCTGGTGACACCTTTGCCCATCTAGCTGCCTCATTAGACCATTTTCAACAAATAGCATCAGATACTTCAGAACCCTCCTTGGCATGTCTTGCGAAGTAGAGACAGAAGTACTGGTAGAAGCAGAACTAGAGGTAGAGGTAGACGTAGAACTAGAGGCAGAAGTAGGGCAGGGACAGAGGCAAGGAGAAGGGCAAAAGAAGGGGGAGGTAGATAGACAGGAAGAGGGAGGAGGGAGACTCTACAAGGCTAGGTATGATTCCCGAGTTGGGACTGATCACAGGCCAGGCCTTAGAGTATTTCAACCTTCTCAGAGTAGGATTTCTGCCTCCTTTGCACTCACTTTCTTACTATTTGCTGGGTAGGATTTCCGCCTGCTTTACACTCACATTCTTACTATTTGCTGAGTAGGATTTCTGCCTCCTTTGCACTCACATTCTTACAAGGCTGGGCCGTGTGTCTGGATGAATCAGAATGGAAGGGTAACACCAGAAGGCAAGTCAAGGTCAGGGGAGCAGGCTGGCCAGATGGATAGGTATTTCTAAGTCTCTTGATTGATAAACAAAACAGGCAAAGAACATATAGTTTGTCACCCAAAATCTTCACAGTATTAGTTCCAGGCTCTCCTTGCACATACCAAAACCTATATATGTTCAAGTTCCTTATATAAAATAGTATAATATTTTCACATTATCTATACATCCTTCCTGTATACTATAAATTATTTCTAGGTTAGTTACAAAATATAATTCTATAAATAGTTGTTATACTATATTGTTTAGGGAATAATGACAATCAGATGCATTTTTTTCAGCATATTTCCCATCCATAATTGCTTCAATCCACAGATATGGAATGCATGGTACAGTGGGTTAAGTTGACTAATATCAATTGTGAAGAACTGATAGTAACTTTAATTTTTTTTATTACAGCAGACTGAACCTAGGAACATGCATCTAGTAGGCAAATTCTGTACCACTAGCTGCACCCCTTAAATAAGAACTGGCTTTTTTATATTAATTCACATACATATATTCCTCACTAGTGTCTGTTCATGCATCAAATGAAGAGAAATAGAACTCCTCCAAAAAGGAGTGCTGGGTGTTTTCCTGTCTCTTTGTGCACTAGCAGATAACCAAATCTTTGAGGCAAGAAAGGCAGATGGTCCAGAAAAACCAAGTTGACATAACTAAAGTAATAGATGGCCTGCGTGTTCAAGGGTTGTGACAGAAGCCTTTTAGGGGAGGCCCAGAAAGAAGCCACACAACTGAAAGATTGGTGGTCTCACACATGCCTAGGCAAGAATCCCAACATTTTCACAAATGACAGTTTTGACTGTCACTGCTTTGCACTTCATCTTTGCCATCTATAAGGCAAGTAGCTCCTACCCTTGGATTTATTCCATTAACCACAGATGAACTGAGCAGCTGGGAAAGCAGCGTGAGGCAAGCGCAGTGAAATCTGTCCATATGAACCATAGTTTGGAGACTGCTCTTTGGGTGGAAATGAGAATGAAATGACGGGCAACATCTCCTAACACCCTTTATTATTCTCCCATTATTAGAGCCTCTGAAATATCTAAACATTGAGACTGTTACTTGCAAGCATGATTTAGATGGAAGATTTAGATGCAGCTTCCATGTCAGGTGCTTCCTACTTGTCAGAGGTTTCAAGAACCGTGAGATATGGATGTGTGCTGCAACTTGCACATAAGATGGTGGAAGCCAAGGCAAACCATGCTAGAGAATTCCTGTTTGTCAGGGATAGAAATGAGATGCCAAGGACCAATTGTGTAATACCAAAATGATGAGGTTATCGAAGGAAATTTGATTTATGATATGCAAACTATATCTATACAAAGATAATAAAATGACAATAAGTCATAATTTGCAAAGACAAAATAAGATAGAAGTTATAATGCCAGACTCATTAAATTATTAGAGTTTCCTGGAGGTGGTGCTGATTTCTAAATTTTATTTAATCCCTTTTACCTCTTTTGTTGGTTTCCATGACCTCTGCTGCTATAGGATCTATGTTGATGGAAGTAGCAAATTTGCCCCTTCTAAAATGCCTAGACTGGATAAAGGAGCCCTAGTTCTCCTAAGAAACTCTCTAATCACCCATATTCTGCTGCTAGGAACACTCCTGCGTAAAAGGGTTAGAACCTTCCCGGGTATCACAATCAGGTACAGTAAGCTTGTTGTACTTGTATGACCTTCCCCCTCACAGGTCATTTTTCCTTTTAGCCTAGAATGATTATTACTCATTCCATCTGAAATGTTGTTATTCTGGACTTTGTGGTTAGCCAACTGAATTGTTTTCCAAAGGGAGCCTGTCAGTTGACCTTGATACTGTTACAATACCAATTTTGTTACTGTTCACTACCTAAAGCAAGTTTTCCAATAAGATGGAATTCCAAACATACCAAAGGGATCCTGTGATTTTTCCCAGCTGCTTGCTGAGACTTATGGGACACTAGCTTTTAGTAAGACATTGGAATGAAGGATAATCAGAGGTAGTCTAATGTTTCAAGTGTACTACGAGACTCATTTTTAGGGACAGCTTCATTTAAGTCATCTGAGAACAATATATTTCTTTGGAATATAGCCTACATGCCCAAATTGACTACTCTTGAAGCCTATTGGCTATGCTGAATAAATAAGAAAATCACACACTTTTTTTGGGCTGAGCTATTGTGGATGTTTTGAAGGCAAGCCCTGAACCACCTCCTGTGGAAACCTGCACTCCCTGTACAGCTTTTCCCCTTTGCCTCATCCCAATGCTTACTAGTGAGAATGCTAATTCAGTGACTACTTGTCTTAACAGATTTGAGAAAAAGGGGAAGATGGTATGGATATGGAGTGGCACTGAGTACAAGTTAATGTGCAGCTAAGAAAAGCTAATAAGGATGCCCAGAGGCTGAAAAAGAGAAATGTAAGCTTGTTTTCTGATGATGCTATTACTCCAACTGAAGGAAAACTGCAACACCCAGGGCATTATAAATTGATCTCAACATGACATTATCAAAGGCATAAATAGCAACAATTTGGAAAGAAAGCTTCAAACTACTCAAGATGCTAGGAAACTGCTTTCTAGGGACAAAACAACTCTTGTTAGATAATGTAATCCCAGCTGATCGGATTCCAAAACTAGCATCCTTTGGCAGAAATGACTGTAGTTCCATTCAGTTTGAAGCTGCTTCTGTGCCCACTAACATTGTTTCTGGGACATCTGTATAGACCAAGGCTGTGGTGGATGAGGTCCTATCCCAGCATTTCTTTCTGCGTTAGTATCTTCACATGTTCACAGTAGTGAACAAACTACATGGGCTCTAAGAAACCTTGCAGATTCTGATTCTGTTTCCTGGTACTTTGTTTTCAAGCATGGTGAAGCCGACTCACTTATCCTGCACCTCTGCTAGATGCCACTGAATAATTCTTCCTACTTGAGTTTGTCTCCAGCATCACCATGATCCAGAAGCATTAGCAGATAACTGCTAGGCTGTTTCCTATTTGATACATAGTTTCATAAACACAGTGAACAACAATGAAAAAGGGTTGTGCCCTACCTTTGAAGCTTCTAGGACTTACTACTCAACTGCTAATTCTGACTTCCACACTAAGAACCATAGGGAATTAGCATCACTGGAACAGATTAACAGATTCAGACTGTGTTAGATGTAAGAACACTTGCCATATTTTCCATCCTTAAAACTAACACGAGTCAGAAGAAAGCTACATGGACAATGTCAAATATCACAGCTGTCAGAACCAGATACAACAGGTTAGATTAGTTCTACTCATTACCTAAGGCACAAAAGGAAAATAAACAACTATATAAGTGGCAAAACATTTTCACAGAGTGTATGTTTTATTCATTGTGGCATAACAGAACTGTTGACAAACCTTTCAAATGCAAAAGATACCAAAATTATCCTGGTTATTCGGGGGCCCATTTTAATTATCTTTCAGACTACTGAGAAACTTGGTGAAAGTGAGAAACAGTACAATGATTGAAGAATATAGAGGCCTGGATAAAAATTGAAGCTCTACAAAACCATGAAAGTGAGTAGGCATACATGGATCTGTTAAGCTTGATTAAGAAATATTTTTCAATAAAGGAAGAAAGAATCAAATGTGTGAGAAATAACCTCTGAAGTTCAGAATGGGACTCCTGAGACCTTTAACTTATAGACTGCACAGTTGAAGCATAAAGTTGTTTGTTGCATTGTGCATGTTCAATATACATTTGTCTTATTCTTTCTCTATTAAAAACTCTTTAACTATAGCTTGCTGTGTAGTTCTTCCAACAAACCTATACTTAAACAGTTCCAAATTGTCATTTGAATGGGTTATTTCTCTGTGGAATTTCATATCTTGCCATTATAAAGATTAAATTCCACATTTTTTACTTTAAAAAGGAAAAATATAATAATGGCTCAACTGGTATCAGTAAGACTATGCTTGGCCATTCCTCCCACTGTTTATATTCCAGCTTAGCCTTCTCGGAAATGATGGAGAGAATGACTACAGCTGTTCTGGGTCGGAGAACTGGCTGTCTAGAAGACGATTTCCATAGCTAAAATTAGTGTTTGAAAGTTCCTGCAGGGCTCCAGGAGCCAAATAGACTTAGTCTCTAGGTTCTTTTAAACCAAGAGTTCTCCATTCTGGTTGCATGTGCAAGCTGACTGTTGAGGTCAGGGATATACTTGTGTAATAGGTGGAGAAGAAACAGAATGGAGGTTCTATGTACTGGAGGCAAAGTTTGAAGGCATCTGTGGTACATTATTAGATTCTGGTCACATCCTGAAGGAACATGGTAGATATGATAAGAGAACTATCCTCATACTTTCTTGGTAGCTACAGGATAATAAAGCAGACTAAAATTGAGTTAAAGTTAGTAGCCAGGCCAAGCAAATAAACCCAAATGCCTTCTATTAACTGGTCATTCCTTTAGAAAGAAGTATTCAGTAAAACAGACAAAAAGGAAAGAGTGAAGTTTTAAGTGAATTATATGTATACCATATATGTTTTTGTAACCACCTGATGGACTCACCCGAAGGAAGAAAGGAAACTTCCTGCCATAAAAGCCAACCCGAAAGAACTCAGGTTCCAAGCGTTGCTGCTCCATGATGTTGTCATAGTAACTGGCTTCCATTTTCTGTGAACAAGAAAGGTGATTGCCTTCAGGTTGGCTTGGCTGCTGCAGGTCCAAAGCAAGCTCTCCTGGGCCCAAGTGGACAATGTCTTCTGGAAAGGGATCATGGCAACTCAATCTAGGTATGAAGGAAGTGAGCCCCTACCCATGAGCAGCATCTCTTCAGGGAGCTGCGCCATGGAAGAGGAAGCCCTCTTTCTCCATTACTATCTGATGTGGGATGAGGACAGGCCTGGCTACTGTTGTTCGGTGAGGATACTCTGAATGTGCTCCCAGGACAGAGACCCACCTCCCCAGAAATCTGAGTTTTATACTCAAGGGGTATATATTTAACACAGACCTTTCTCACCCAGGGATTTTGATTTTGACTGATATTCACTATACTCATTAAACCCTGACAAGGATTGATTGTAGTTCACTATCAACAATTCTCAGTACTATTTCATATACATTTGATTTTATCTATCCTTGCTCATCTATTCTCTAACCAAAGATGCTAATAACCATAGTGAAGAAAGCTCAGTTTCCAGGAGCACTGGTACCAATTCCAATTTGAAAGATTTTAAGTTTGAAAAGTTAATACCTATGATGTTTAGAATCACCAAGGTCAGTAAAGTTTTAGTCTTGGCTGATCTGGCTTCACATTTAGAAAAAAACTGAACAAACCTTTAATTGGGAGGAGGATCCCCCTGCCCCCTCAGGATGCCTTAAGGGCAGGTCTGGTAAGGCAGAGGATCTGGGGATCGAATCACAGTATCCTGAGTCTGACTACCTTCACTTAAGCAGATCAAACCTTTAATTGGGAAACTAATAAATTCAATCAAGTGAGGTTATCAGGAGGCACTGGCCTTCAAAAACTAATCCTAGGGCACCCTGCCCAAGTCCCAATTTGAACAAGATAATGGGAGAGAGTCATCAAAAAGCATGAGGGTATAGAGAATGTGAGCTGAGATCACTGACTTCTCTATGTGGATAAGATCAGGAGCAGTTAAGATTTAGGATCCAGAACTGGCACCCAGGATCAATATGGTGCAAATCTGCAACATCCATACGACTTCTGACTTAATTTTGTAATATTTTGCTTCAAGGAAGAGCAAAACGACAAGACAAGGTGCTTAAAATTGATCACAAGTTAAAAGTGGGGGAAAGCTCTTCTAATGAAATTTTAGATTAAACACCCTTTTTTTTTTTTTGGTCCTGTGGATCAAACTTGAGCCCTTGCCCTTGCCAGGCAGGTGCTTATGCTGCTGAGCTATATTCCTGACCCCAGATTAAACATCCTTGAACGAAACTATTTATAGAAAAATTCTTCATAAAGTTGAGATGCTATCTTCTCCCCCAAATTCCTATCTTTTTGTGCCTATGTAGGCTAGTTTCTCTAAGTACCAGATGCCATTAGGGTGTGGATCATAAAATCCTTTGTTAGGTAAGTAGTTTTGTTCCCCAGTCAACTTCTAGTTTGCTGAGGGAAGGAATTTTGGCCTCTGTTTCTCCTGTACTGTACATAGCACTAAACCAAAGGCTTTAATGCCCTACTTAATAGGGCTCATTCAGAAACTGCTGTCAGGAAAGTCCAGGGAGCTCTGGTCAGAGATGGGGGAAGAGGTAAGGGACTGAGCTCACCCGAATCCAGCTGAGGCTTTGATAATCGTAGAGGCTTTCATACTGACATGCCAGCTCTCTGCACAATGGGATCCCAAACTCCCAGCTCTGCATCAGAAGGAGGAATAGGGCTTTAGCATTTTAGGCATCCTTAGAATGGCCTAAGCCTACATAGAACACATCAGTAATTAACAACAAAAGGCCTCTTGCTAGTTCCAACTTATACTCACAGGGAACACATGGAGCATGACACATAGCATTATGGCTCTCTACCTCAAGTGTATCCTTCGAGTATCTGTTCAAATATCTTCACTTGTAGACCTTCCCTGATTACCTTGTCAAGAATAGGCATTGTTCTTTTTCTTCCCTTTTTTGTAATACTGGGGACTGAACCTAGGGCCTTTGTAATGAGCTTTATACCCAACCCTTTTTATTTTATTTTTTAATTTTTGAGACAGTATGTTGCTAATCCTTAAGTTGTCTAGTCTGGGCTTGAACTTGCAATGCTCCTACCTCAGCCTTGCAGAGTTCTGGGATTATAGATATGCAAGAACAGGAATTTTTCCTTACATTTTGGTCCTTTTAGCCTGAAATCATTTTATTTTTAAAATATTATTTACTTTTTCATTAGTCTAATTAGATGGCAAACTACATGAAGGAAGAAACCCTGTTTATTTACTCTATCATCAGAGCCAAGAACAATACTAGGCATATATCATGTACTTGAAAAAAATTTAATTTTTTTTTCAGAACCAGGGATTGAACGCAGGCCCTTGCACTTGCTTAGCAATAAGCCAAGCAAGTGCTTATTTTACTGAGCTATCTCCCCAGCCCCTTGATAAAATTTTATTTAATGAATTAATGATGGGAAAATTACTATTTATTTATATATTGAGACAGGGTCTTGCTATGCAGTTCAGGCAAGTTCATTACAGAGCCCAGGCTGGTCTCAAACAAATGGCTATCCTCCTGCCTCAGCCTCCCAAATATGGAGGTTACAGGAGTGTGCCACTATGTCCAGCTCAGAACATGACATTTAAATTAAAATCATTTAAGTTTAGAGACAAGTATGGAAAAGAAGAAGAAAATTGCTACACAGGGACTTAACAACATGCTTTATGGAAAGTTAGAACTTTAGATGACCCTTGCCTTGTCAGATACCAGACTACTTTTGTGACGTAGCTTGTCTTATAGTCACAGCCCCATCTAACAGATGCCTGAGGAAGATTGCAGTGTAATTTATTAAGAGACAGTATTGTCCACTTCTTCTTTCCTTAAAAAATATAATACATTGGGTATGGTGGTACACATCTATAATCCCAGTACTGGGGAGGCTGAGACAGGAGGATCACTATGAGTATGAGTTGCGTAGCAAGACCTTGTACCAAACAAATAAATACATAAAAGATTTAAAAAAATTTAAAAAAATATAGTACAAGTTTTCTTTCTTTTGGTTAAATGGGGAATTATAAGTTTACTAGATGTTTTACCCAGGCTCTTCTCTCCAACTTTTAAATACTAATTAAAATTTATTATAGAAAATTTTATATAGAGAGAAAAATGGAGAGCACAGAAGAATGAACACCTAGGTACCCATAATCCAGCCTGTCATGAGCTGTCTCAAATGGAGTTGCTCACTTAGGTGGTGAAGACTTCATGAGGGACTAAAGGCATTCTGCCTGTTGATGGTAGTTTCCACTAAAACACAACTCCTCTAGTAGACCAATGCTCATCTTTCTTGTTGCTATTTTGCCCTGACTTGTAGTCCTGCTGCTCCAAAGTGCCTTTCCCATGTCTTTAGAGTGAGAACCAAAAATGAGGACTTTGGGTGAGGACCAAAAGTTTTAAGACACCCTATTAGCCTTGAGGGGTATATTGGAGAACTGGTGGGTGTCTAGGGGCTTTGAAAGCTGCCAGTGCACACATATAAGGAAACTTCTACAGGTACAGTGCATTTTTTATTCTTATCCCTTTCCTTTGGTTTCTCTCTTTTAGGTAAGAGACAAAGCTAATTTTACCAGTGCCTAAACCACTTATACCAGTTCTAGTAAATATGTGCTTTTTTTTTTTTTGGTGGAACCGGGGATTTAACTCAGTTCCTTGCGCTTGCCAGGGAAGCGCTTATTCCACTGAGCCATCTCCCCGGCCCCGTAAATATGTGCTTTTTATACATCTTTGTTTTGTTTCATTATAGATGGTACAATAGTTGCACTATCTTCTAGTAAATAGCACAGAAAGGGAAAGGCCTAGGTCTTAGGCTGGCAGTCTTTGTACTGCTGTTTACACAAGTTAGAAGAAACAGTTTTTCCTTTAGAAGTATAGATAACAGTAAATACTCAAGTAGGAGCCACCTTGCCCCATGACCAGCCTAGAAAGATCTAAAGGTTTGTATGTCAGATGAACAGAGGCCTTTCTGGTCTGTTCCCTCTACTGGGATCAGGTCCTATCTTCATATTCTTCTTTTTCTCAACTCTTACTCTACCCACACCTTGTTTACTTGGAGTGGCCTTCTCTCTTTGTCTGGCTGGGAGAGTTAATCTGCAATGGACCAAAGCCTGGTCTACCTTGGAGAAGGTTCCTATGCTAACCACCTCACTGCTAGAGAGAATAACCAGACTAGGCTATGGCCATGTGTCACTTACACTTAAAAATGAACATGGCACCAATGGAGATTGGGCCGTATATTTAAGGCACAAAATAGAGATGCTAGAAGTGTGGCGAAGGAAAATCAAGAGAGGCCTGGGTTATGAGGAGGGTATGCTGGCAGTGCTGAGGGATAGCTCCTCTTACTTGTTCCTCATCCAGTCTTCCCTTTTTTGCTCTTCTCCTGTTGCTAAGGTGACTTTTCTCCTCATGCCTATAACCTTTCCTTGGTCCACAGGAGCATTTTATTTTTCCTGCAGCAGTGGGTTATGCTTTTCAGAAAGAACTGGTTAGCCTCATATCCTAGTTCCATCAGGAGTGGAGGCATAGAAATAGAGAAGGTGAACTTTCTGTACAAGCCTAAGGGCATGAAGCTGGTAAATGCCCCTTGGAGAATGAGTTCACAAAAGCACTCAATGAGCAATTCACTGGAAGGACTGCACAGATTCCAAAGGAAGTGGCCCATGGAGCGTCCTAGACTTTCTGCCCTCTCTGCCCATCCATCATACACAGGCAGGTTTTGCACTTCACTCTCAGTCCATGTGAAGATTTACTCCTCATTTCCTGTGTGCTGCTACAGTAGCAGTGTGATGATGAGCTAATGCTCACACATTACAACAGGACGTGTTCCCTGTTAGCATAATTCTCCACTCCACTCTGTGCCTTTGGAAAGAAAATAAGAGAACTGATACATTAAAAGCATTCACACACAGGGAAATCAAACTTACACCCTGGCTGAATCAGGAGGGCTTGCTACCCATATGCACAGTGGAAGATTGTTTCGTGCCAGGAAGACAGGCCTAAAACTGAATGAGGGATGTAAGCCAGGCTCTAGACCAGAAGGGGAAGTGACTTTGGGCCAACATTGTGAGATCAGTCATATGCACTGGCTGAGAGCAGAACAACTGTTTCCATCTTGGGGTTGGTTAGAAGAGAATCGCTACAGTTTTATAAAGGTTCTTGCTTTACTAGTGTGTTCTGTGAGGGATGCACATGTGCAGATGAGTATGGGTTTTCTGAGTAAACTTTTTTCTTGTTTTTTTTGAGACGAAGTATTGCTCTATATACTTCAGGCTGACCTTAAACTCATGATGATTCTCCTGTCTCAGCCTCCTGAGATTATAGGTAGGTGTGTGCCACCATGCTTGGCTACTGAGTGAATATTTTTGACAAATACCAAAGTCTACTCTGTTGTGTCAAAGTGAAGTCTTTTTTCTGATTTATGGGCAAAAGTAATTAACATTTAAGGTCTGGCCAGATAGCTCAACAGATTAAAGCACCTGCTTAGGCAGATGGCAGGGACTAGGTTCGATCCCTGGCATGCTGTACCAGCCCTGCCCCCCGGGTCATGCTGAGCCACTGACTGAGACTGGGCATAATGGTGCATACCTGTAATCCCAGCACTTGGGAGGCTCAAAACAGAAGGATCACTATGAGTCTGATCTGTGTAGTGAGACCCTATAGACCTTGTACTAAATATATAAAAATAAATCGATAAACAAAATAAAAAATAAAATAAAAAGTAATTAACATTTAAATCTTTCTGATGATGAAAATTTTACTCTGAAATAGCAATTTCAATCTGAACCAGAGGCTTAGCCACTACAGCTTCCTGAATGATCCCATTTCAAATTTTAAAATGTGCTCAAAGTCAGGTAATGAAGGAACAGGTTCAACAAATTACAGATCCCCAGTCTTTCCAGTATATGGCCACACCCAAAGGTGAGTATTCAGAGGGCCCCATAAGGATCTCTCTGGAGACGGGAACAACACTGGCCAGGAAGTCCCACAGAAGCCTTAACTAGCACTGACAATCTCACAGGAGCAAGTCTGTTTTAGAATACTCCCAATCTGAGAGAAAGCCAGACAGTGCTATAAGTAAGGCAAATTCAAGATGAGAAGTTCCACTAGTAAGAGGCAGTGTAGGTCTCCATAGGCTCTAGTTATAATTCATTTGTTTTTACTACAAAAATTAGAAAGCCACATTAATTATTTAAATAAATCTAATACAGATAGAGTTCCAGAAACCTGTGTTGCAAGAACATTATCTTTACAGATGTGAAAAACTAATATATGAGATTGTTTCTTACAACTTGGAATGGGCTTCCAAGCCACAGAGTCAAGCTGCTGTTGTCCTTTAATTTCTGCCTCAGAGATAATCTTGCTGTCTCCAAATCCAATGCCAAACATCAGCACCCACCCACCTACCACCTCACATGCCACTGCCTTCAGCTGCTGCCAACCCTACAATGTAAAGACATCATGCACCACAGCAGTAGCTCAGGGGCTGAAAGTCTTGCCTAATGACACCTACTTTGCCTTTGTTGAAGTAGTGGATGATCTTTCGGCACAATCCCTCCTTCCGCTGCCACTCTGTCTGGGATGGGTAGTGCAGGAACTCCCGCAGCGGCCGATCCTCCCACTGCAGCAGCTCACAGTAAAGGAGCAGGGTGAATGCAGCCTCTGTGGGGACAGGCAGCATGGAGGCCCAGTGCTTCCTCTCATGGGCCCAGAAGTAGCTTAATGAGGGTGGGCAGACCCAGGGCAAGGCATGTGCAGCCCAGGTAAGGTACACTCAATACCAGAGGCGAGACATCGAGGCTGCCCAGAGGCTGCACATGTCACAGAGTGAAGACGCCATAGATTCTGGTAGAAAGTTTTCTCCTAGGTTCTGGTTACCTGTTCTCAGGATCAAGGTAAAGAACAAAGAATACTTAGGTACCTGAGACTCTTGGCATAGCTTATCTTACTACAGGTGACCAGCATGTTAGAGAAAGTGTTTCGATTCCTTTTTGCTCAGTTCACTAGTTTTCTTCCTGGTTTTCTCAGAATGTGTTCTAACAGGTGAACACCAACCAATCTTCGCTCAGCTCTTCCTAACACACTGTTAATGCCTCCAGACCCATTTTTCTGGCCTCAGCGTGGCTTAGGGGAAAGACTCTTTTCTTTCACCTTTATCATTTTTAAAAAGATCAAGTAGAAGCAGTGTGAATGGTAGTCACTGTCTGATGTGTCTGGAGCCAAAGGCTCTATTACTGGAGGACCCCAAGTTGACGGTAAACCCAGACTGGAGGCCTGGCAACATCTCACTCCATATAAAGAACAATCATGGAACTTATGTAAAGACACAGCTGCTAAACAATGTAACTTCCTAAATTGCAAGGGATGAGTCACACTGAATTAAGCCACTGTTCAGGATCTTCATGTCACAGTCTTCTTTTCCTATTCTATTTGCTTATTTTTAGTGGGGATTTTTATTGGCAAGTTAGTTTTAGCTTCTTCTTGGCTTCTGTGGCCCTACTCAAACCTGATCTCCACTTGTTTTTTACATTTTTAAATTAATTTTAATGAGAAAAATAGCAATGAAACATTTTCAGAACAGGTTAATAGGACAGTTACAATAATTAATACATTGCATATTGTTGTCTTCATAGTAGTTATTCAGAGGACAAGATGCAGACATGATATCTTGTCTAAACAATATTAGTACAAACTTTTCTTTTCATTGAACTAAGAGAAAATAGCTGTATATCTATCATAACTATTTTGTATACATCTTCTACCTGATTTCTAGTTTTAGGCAGATCTACTTGCCTGTGGCCCCTCTCTAGATTTTCCTCCTCTTTGCCTCCCTGCTTGTGTATCCTGCTACTGCTGCCCAGGGTGTATATACCTCCTCCTTGGATCTAGGAGGACTTTTCTCTCTGGGTACAAAAGTGCTTTTTTCTTTATGGAAGCTCACTCCTCCTTTTGGAGTTTAGGAAACCAGAAGAAATATTTTTCTTCTCAATCTATATTCCCTTTTGATGTCATTTCTGAAGCCATCAGAGACAAGGCTTAGTTCCTTCAGTCCAGATTCCTGACTCAGCCTCAGTCAAGGCCCAGTTCTCTGGAAGGTTAACAAATACCTCTACTCATTCATAGAATTATCAAAATCTTTGTATTCACTACCCTCTCAGAGAATCACTGGGATCATGGGTGGATCTGGATACACAGGACAGCACATCTCTGCTATGTTGTGGTATTCTAGTCTATGCTATGCTATCCTATCCTGTGCTGTGCTGTGCTATGCTACACTATACTATTTTGTTCTAATCTTTTGATGGGGTTTTAATATGTTGCCTGGGCTGGCCTTGAATTTGTGCTTCTCCTGCCTCAGTCTTCCAGTTAGAGCGGTCATTTTAGTTCTAACTTTTACCAAGCTGTGTTATCAGAAAATGTGGCATCTATGACAAACACTCTCTAATATTTAGAAATAAGTAAGGGAGATTATTTCTACAGATAAGGAAGGGAGATTGTTTCTACAGATCCATAGAATTTTAATAACGTTTTTAGAAAGGAAGAACTCACATTTCCTTGTCTAACATACAAATTCAAGACTACACCCTAACAGCTAAGATGTAATGGCTGTTTACCACAGTGGAAAAAGATGGCTACATTTGGGGGAATTATGATACAGGTATTCAGATAGAATACAAACACATGCATATACCCTTCTGATTCTGAGCCTCTCTCAGTAACAGAATGAGATACGCATTTTGATTTAAAGTATAGACATGAGGAAAAGGGTCCCTGTCTACAGACTGTGAAGTCAGATGAATGCTCAGTGTGGGACTGCTCTGCAGTAGCAGGGAAAAACAGACTGCAAGGCCGATCTGCCAGTGAGTCCCAGGGTATTATGTTGTTAAGGTCTTACTGAGCTGCAGCTTTTAAGAGAAAAGCTCTTTTTTTTTTCTTTTTTTTTTTTTTACAATACAGAACCTATTTTTTTGCAAAATTTTATTGATAAACAGATAGCAATGAGACAGTTTCAAATCAAATCGGAAGTACAGATTCAACAACACACTGCATATATTCTTCTTAGTGGTTAATTGCTGTACAAGATGCAGACTTGAGATCCTATTTACAAACACCATTAGAACAAATCATTCTATTCATTAAGAGAATGCAACTATATATCTATCCTAACCACTTTGAATACACAGATACAAAACGGACATTCATCGGTATGCCCCATTTTTTCTAAGTTCCGTTATTGAATATTATAGGTGTGTAAACTCAGCAAAATATTCTAAGAGTCCAGTAGCCCATAATAGCATTGGGTCTTCTGTTTAACTGGCAATGTCAGAAATTATTGACCTGAGTCCCCCACAGCTCAACATAACAGATGGCTTTGAAAAGCTCTTTTTATGAGCAGAATCTGGAGGGTATCTTTGAGGCGTCACAGGGGTGGATAGTAATGGAGAATGTAAAAGTCTCAAGCAGTGGAGGACACGGCACAGAGACACAAGTGGAGGTTCTGCCTGCTTTCTCTCTTACCATGTGCTAACAAGGAGTTCTGAGAAAGCAATGAAGTGGAGGGACAGCACAGGCCCTAACACTGCTGCAACCTGTGAGCAGCTAGCCTGCAGTCCTTCTCTGCCAGCTGTGGAAATGTCACCAGTATGTTCTCATGGGCAGGACTTCCACTCTCCCTACTCACCTGTGTAGTTTTCAGTCTGCAAGTGCATATCACAAAGCTTATGGATGTACCGGATATACATTTCTTCTTTGTTAATCTCAGATTTGTAAAAGTTCTATAAAAGAAAGAAGGAGATATACATGATGAGAGAGAGTTTGCCACCTTTGCAAGCCATTCCTGAATTTCAGACCACTGGCCAAAACCCTAGGTGTGCTAGGCAGAGGAGAAGACAGATCCTGGAGGCAGATGGCACCAAAAAAGGAAAGGACCAACCAGAAGGAACACCTGCTGGAAGTAGATGCTCTGGTAAGTCCATGGGGGTCCTGAGTAACGTGAAAGAGAAATGGCACTAGAGCCAACTGGGGATCAGAACAATGAACCAGTGTATCAGGGCTGGCAGGATCTTGTCAAGAGGTCAGGTTAGAGTTCTGCCCTGAGAATAATTTATCCAAGAGGAAATGTGTCTGAAGAAGTTCAGGACTCCAAGATAACCATACTAGAATTGAAATTCTGCTTTTTTTTTTTTTTTGTGGTACTGGGGATTGAACTCAGGACCCTGCACTTGCCAGGCAGGCACTTACTCTACTGAGCTATCTCTCCGGCCCTTAGAATTGAAATTCTAATTCAGATCTTACAGCCATATATTAAAGACAGGCAAAGCCCAATTGCAGTGTGGAATAGGAACTACCTATCAGGAAGATAAGGAGAAAATCCATGTCCTCTCACCATTAGATTAACTGTACAGCCAATCTTCTTATTCTCTGTTTCTTCTCCTTTCATGCAGTCTCTGGAAGGGAGAACATAGATGAGTACCCATAGTATCAAGTGGTGCCCTGAGATAATACACAGAACTGCGATATCACTGGGGCACTGATATGAACCAAGTTCAGGAATTGATTTTTCAAATAACAGGAAGTGATTCATCAAATGAGAACTATCCTGTGAGCTCCAAGATTATATCCACTCCTAGGATTTAGAGACCTCTTACTGAGATCTTTGTTCTGGTGGTAGTATATGGAAAATAGATATTGTATCAGGCAGGGCATTAAATGACACCTATTAATGGCCTTGTCACAGATGGATATGTCAGTAAGATGGAAAGGTCAAATCCTCAGGTTCCCCAAAAGAGGCATAGTGCTGACTTTATTTATTTATTTTAATTTTTTTGCAGAACCTGGGATTGAACTCAGGCCCTTGCGCTTGCCAGGGTAGTGCTTATCCTACTGAGCCATCTCCCTGGCCCCAACAGAGCTGACTTTAAAGGGAAAGTTTCATTTTGTTCAACAGTGCTGAGTAGATCCTACAGTCTAGGTTCTAGCCTCAGAACCCTGTGGACATAGCAACCATGGAATGATTGATGGATTGACCATACAACCTTTTTCTGCATTAGTCTTTGGAGCCATCTTTCACAAAAAGTAGCAGGTATTTCCTGCTAATTCAGAGACAGCTTTAGCCAAGCAGGGTATTGGGGTTACAGGGGTTAGGGATGGATTGTGAGAGACAGGACAATTAAGAGCACTGAGAATGGATACCTCCCAAGGGAAAGAGGGGACTGGTCAAAGCCAAGCTCTCCTGGGAAGGAACAGAGGTCTATCAGAAGGAGATAAAGAAAAGCAAGCATCAGAATGGCAAATCCAGCCAGGCCAGAGCCCCACCTCCTGTTGTGTTTCCTTCCCTGGCACAGACCTCCAGAGTCAGGGTGGAAAGAGTTTCTTGGTATTCTCCACTGATAGTAGGGTCCAATGAGGAGCAGCAAAACTCATAATCAGGAAGCCTAGCCCAAGTCATAGAGTGCTGGATGGTCACTTGACAAGACCAGCTCTTCCCACCTTCTCATAATAGAAAAGGAAGACTCTGAAGTGATTATTTGAAAGAAAGGGATGCTTAAAAACAGGCCACTGTCATGGAATTCTCTAAGCCAAGTGTTCTCCCTATGGAGATCTACTGCCAGAGTTAGCAGTTTTGTGGGGTTTGAAACCAAGATTCACCATTCTGGGGTTTACCCTGCCGACATATTCACCCTACAAAGCACCTGGTTGCTATGAAGATAGACATAAGACCATGAGGGTCCCTCTGGAGAATTTGTTAATGGAAGCGGGGCTAAGAAAGTGCTATGACTTTTCAAGAGGAGCAAGCCCAGGGACCAGATGGCTAACCAGTTCCAGGTAACATGCAGAGTGGCAAGAGGCATCTGTCTCCCTTCTGATCATCCAGGGGCTCAGTAAGTCAGCCCTGGAGAAGGAAACTGGCTCTCACTTAGCCATCCTGGCATTTAGTAGTTTATATTTTCTACAGAATATCTGAAACATTTACCAGGCATCAGTATCTACTTGGCTATAACTAGAATTTCCCAGACAAATCATTGAAATGGAAAAGAACTAGCGTTAACACTGTGAGTGATGTTGGGGCATTTTCAGACATTTTGTGCTCTATAGCTCCCTGTGTCATGTATTGCAAACAGCACTTTTCTGTGTGGCTCTGAGTCACTTTTGGGTGGCTACTCAACAAAGAAGATGCCTTCCAAAGTCTCTAACTTAAATGCAGCACTACTTTCCCTTTTTTTCTGGAGGTTGAACAAGGAAGAATTGCCTGAAAAAATGCTACTGAGGTACCTGGCCCAACTGTTCATGGTGGGATGGGATGGGGGGTCTAGGTCAGTGGCCAGGCAACCCTCAGTGAAACTGGAGGGCCCTAGGAAAGGACGGTACCACAACTTCCAGTTGACAATCCCAGTAGAAGCTCCACTCAGTCTCAGTGGCTTGGCAACTGTAACTCTGTCCCTGTACACTTCTAGGAATTCTTGTTTCCTAACCAAGAAAATATAAGCAAAACTAATAAACATCTTTAGATAAGACAACAATGTCTCAGATTCATATAAAATTAAAAGACATTAACATAAAAGTTGAGGACGTCCTACTCTGAGACCTAAATGTTGAGCTAAGTCAGGTATGGAAGTGCAGATCTGTAAAGCCAGTACTCTGGGGTGGCTGAGGTAGAAAGATCACAAATTTATGAGTAGCCTGGTCAACTTAGTGATTTAGCAAGACTCTATCTTGAAATAAAATATAAAGAGGTGGGAATATAACTCAATGTGAAGATCCTGGGTTCAACTCCTTGTATGGCCAAAAATAGTTTTACTTGGCGGAAATTAAGTTTCACATTAAAAATTCAGGTCATCCAGCAATACAATGAAATGAATAAATGGACTAAATTGTACTGGGTAGAAGGAAAGGCTTTTCTGGTTTATGTATGGTCTTCACAACAAATTTATCCAACCAATTACTATTTAGAGTATACCTATCATACAGGGAACCAGAAAAAAAAAAGAACAAGATTCTTGCCCTTTAGAAGTTTTTTTCAGGAAAGACAGAAAGGTGCACACAAAGCCATTTAAGTTCCTGATTTGGGAAAGGCTCTTTGATTAGGGTAAGTTGGAAAGCCACTGTTAAGAGAGGATAGCATGTAGAGAAGCCTAAGGGAACATAATATCAGTGCTGAAACCATGAATGAGGAGAAAGAGTATGGTTCTGTATCAGCTAGATCTGGGATTAATTTCTGGCCATAGCACTTCTTACTCATCTTTTCTCATTGGTGGAAACAATAATAACCCTCAGGGATGCTTACTTACAAGATTAGGAACAATGCACATAAAGCACTAATTTAGATTTCTCAATAAATTAGAGCCATGATAAGTATGGTGTTTCCTTCTATGTTAATAAGGAACAACACTGGGAGCTTATAAAGCAGGTGTAAATATTGGGAGCCAGAAGGAGATAGGACTACAGAGGCAGGCAAAGGCCAGTTCATGAAGTGACTTTGATGCCATGTAAATGACTGTGACCTTGTTTTGTAGTTACCACCATTGTGAAAATAAATGGAGAGTGAAATTAGTTTTAGGCGACTTTGAATTGCTTGTAGAAGACAGCTACAGAAATCAAATAGTCAGTTAGGACTAGGTTTCAACAACCAAGAAATAAACTTCTACCTTTCTGGTAGGGCATAGTGAATTAGAACAATTTTCAGTAAATGTTGTAGTGAGGAAAGGTTTTTCCTTGTGAGGCCCTGAAAAAATATGCCAAAGCTTGCACAAATATAGCTTGCTACCAAAGGGGATGCTCTGGATGTGAACATATTTCTCAGGAATTCCATTTCCACATCTAGGCCAGTGCCCTGGACATCTGACAAAAGCAGTGCCTATTGAGCGCCGCCTTCTTCAGGAGCAATTTGGTGGTGGCCTGAATACCATCATTTCTTGATCCATGTGTTGAAAACATTGTCCTTTAGTGTCTGAACATCTTGTAGCACTACCACTTGGAGCTAGGTTTTATTTCTTTATTATTCCTACCCATTCTTCACCTTTTCCTTGACTCTCAAAAGGCACTCTTCACTACCAGCTGAATCCTCATGAGATTATAATTAAGGGTGCAATGGTTTTATTGTTACTTTTGGACTAACAAAAAGCCATGATATAACTGGGAAGGTAAGCTCTGATGAAAACTTTCTAATTCCACATGAACTCCCAGACTGAACATTAACATAAAGTTTTCTGAGCTCATAGTCTGTTTCCTCTAACTGCTCATTGATAGGATTGGAGGACAGAAATAGATTTAAGCAAACTATGAATTCATAGAAAGTGGGGGATCCCCAACCCCTGGAGAAGCAACTAAAAGTCCTACTGCATTCCATTTTGGTAGCAAGTAACATTTCTCTGCTCATTTACTAAGGAAATATACCTGCTATCTCCCTGCCTTGCTATGGAGACAGCTTTTCTCTTCCCTCCTGTTATGCCTATTCCTTAACTTTCTAGATGGAAAGTCAGATAGCTGCACATATCTGGGAGGTTTCTTGAGTGTGTGTGCCCATAATATAGAGGCAGAAATTCCAGAAAACCCTAGACTACTTTTTATACATAACTCTCTGTCTCTGCTCATTAGTAGATTCCTGGTGAATGTTGATGGCACTCAATAACAGAACAGTCCCTCTCATAAAGGGCACCTGGCTTCAATTTTAAGGCCAAAGGAATGCCCCTAAAGGAGAGTATCCTACTAGAGAAAAGGTCAGGAAAATGCTTGAGAACATACCTATAGTCAAGAAGGCGTTCCATAAGGCGGGTGACTGAGGTCACAAAGGAAATGCCAGTCTCACGCCATGTTTCCTGTTCAACCTTCTCCAGCAGGCTATTGGAGGGTAGAAAGTAAACACAATTCATGAGTTTCCCCTGGGCACAAAAGTGAGGTTCAAGAGCCCATGGGGACTGTGATGGATCTGGAGACAGCAGACTTACCACACTGCAGTCTTACCTGGGGTAGGGCCCAAACAGCTGGGTTCTACTCCATGAAGCAGAAAGCAAAGACAAGGAGGTTATTGGACTGGCAGCAACAAATGAAAATATCTCCCATTTCCCTTTGTGTGTTCCTTAGAATGTTAATGGCATGGGGATAAGGGAAGAGTTTAATGCCCCAGTGTGTTCTTAGGCTTTGCCCACTGATCAACTGTCTCTATTGCTGTCCAGAGCCATTCTCAGAAAACATATAACCTCTTTATGAAAATCAAGGAATGGATTCCCACCAGCCTCAGGAACCCAGCATGAAGAACAGTGGACAATTACAGAACTACCACCAGCCATCCCTGTTGTCAGGGAACATATCCAAGCAAAATATGCCACTCTCAGGAGATCAATGTCAAGGTCTTATTTTTATTTGATAGTTCCAAGTTCCTATAAGGTTAGAAAAGCCTCTGCTTCTCCAAAAACCTAGGGTTTTGAGATCCTCTGACATACCACAGGTCTCTTCTAAGTTATAGTGTTCCGAACTCTGTTTCCTTCAATAACAAGTCAATTTGTAAGTATCCACATAATGATTTTATTACCGATCCCTTTTCATCTCACACTTTGATCTCTATGGTCACGAGAATCACATGTAGTGGCTGGCCCAACTGAGGGTAGTACTGAGGACTCAAAACACATGGATGATTGTTGTTAATGTTTTTGCTATGATGACGTGACTGTCTCACTGCTTCTTGGGCCAGGCAGGGTTTCAGGATAAGTGAGGATTTCCCACATGACCCATGTTACTGAGAGATAAGGCAAGACCACTGACTCTTGCCTCTGAACCAATGCAAGCCTCCAAACCAAGGCTACTGAACCAGTGTTTATCAAACTGTTCTACAGAGCTTCTGCTGTCCTACACAACAGGAAGAGGTGCTCCATGAGCACATATACGTGGGAAATGTTGATGACTATACCCTCCTTTTAGAGATTTTTTTCCATGCCTCTTTGCATGTTAAGGAATTTGAGAAATCTTTGATGGAGAGGCTTGCTCATGTGTTTTAAACGAATCTTTTCTAAACCAATTAGCTCATTATCTACCTTTCCCTCCTTAGCATATCTACAAGCATCTTCCCAAAATGCAAATAGTGAAATGTTTCTTTATGTTATCAGTCACTCTCAGTTCTCACACTGATTTTAAAAAGAGTTACGAACACTATTTGGTCTGATAATTAGTAATTGTGGGTTTATTTTAAACTTTTTTGTTTGTAGCAAAGTCATTTGTTAGTGGCGACAGAAGAGGTTTTCTCTGCTGTGTTCCCACAATTATAAACATGCTTAACCAAAAGAGAACTACTAAAGGGTAAATTTATTTTCATAAATAATAATCATTTCAATGTCAAATAAATTAACTTTTTCTTATGACTTAGCAAGGAACAAGATAGGCATGAAATAGCAGAATGAGTTCCTTCTCATGAAACTGGAGGATTTGCATCCTCCTTCCACAGGTAACTATACTAAACATGTAACTGAAAGCATATTAACTTTTGCCTGAGTGCTGCTCATTATCTCTACAGAGAAGGAAGAGAATCTCTACCCTCCTACCTTGCAAATGTGTTGTGAGAATCAAATAGCAAAACATTTTGTACACTGTAAAGTTCTATGCAAACATTCAATATTTTTACTGGGAAAATCCTTTAGTGATTTTTTCCTTAAAATCATATTAAAACAAAGAAAGTTTCAAAATGGAATAAGTGAGATAGGAAGATTTTCTGGAACTTAAAGTTTCTTTTTTTTTTTTTTTAGGGAGATAAAATATTAACATCACTATGCTTGGGAAGGCCATGCATATTTTCTCTGAGTCTAAATCCTGCAAGGCTTCTTCATGAACTCAAGCCAGAAACCATGGAATGGTGGACCTGGAAGAACCTTCGTGGTTTCAGAGGAACATTTTTATTTTACGAACAGGAAAATGAGCTTGGAAAGGCAGTGACTTATTTAAGAGCCCACAGCAGTAGTTTTCAAGTTGACTATAATATTTTACAAAGGTAGATAAGAAGACCCCCTGTTTAAAAGAGAATTTTCCCCTCCTCCAGATATGCCAGCATTAAGCCTTAGAGAATTAAGTCCTCATAAGCAGTTTGCCCAACTGCATGCAGTGCATGTTATGAAGGTACCTAATGATCCTTTTCCTGTTAGTAAATCTAAAAGCTAAGTTATTCTCTCTTTGTAGCTCTTCAGTACTATGGCAATGGCAGAGAGAGAGCATGCTTTCTTTTTGATAGAAGAGGAACACCGCTACTACCAGGAATAACCAGGTTTTTCCTGATTCCAAACCTCTCAAGACTTCCCAGTATAGGTTTATCTCCATTTCCCACTGCCCCACTTCATCCCCTCCCTCAGTATGGGATGTGTGGGGCTGGAGCAGCTTACAGCAGACCAAAGAGCTCCCTGTAGCTCTCATCGCCTTTTCCTTCTGATACCATGCTGTCCAGCTTGTCAATCAACTCAGCCTCCACCTAGAAGAAAGCAGAGATTTCATAATTCCAACTGAACTCAGAAGAATGGTAAGTATTCACTCCTATTGCTTGATGAGGATGGTAGGAAATTGTTTCTTGATTTGTGTCCTTGCTTCAAATAAATTCCAGGAAAGACAGCATCAGCACTGAGAAACTACCCTGCCTCCTCTAACCAAGGCTTCCCTCCCCAGTGACTTAATATATGGGACTTAAAAAGTTTTAGGTACTCCTTTTCCAATCTAAGGAAAAATGCAAGAAAAATATCCAAAAAAGGCCTTCGCTAAACAGTTTTGTTTTTAAATTCATTCAAAAAAATTTTTGTATGTATTAAATATATCTGGCTAGAACTTTATTCTCTAATCAGCCAGTCTAAAAGGAAGCTTGTGTTGGTTACATTGGTCTTCACTCTAATGAGACTGAAATAATATTTAATAAATGTAATATAATAATATATAATAAATAATATACAGTTTGCATTGAAAAGTGTTGTATTTCCAGAGAGTCTCTTCAAGATAACAGGCACCACTGTTTGTAAGCACAGGACATAAAGCCCTTGGGGCTGCTGCCCCTGTCACTGCCCACCACTGGGACCTCCCTTTACTCCCTATCCTCCAGATATCTAAATCTGGAGGAACAATATTATATTTCCTCCAACCATATGACTCTGCAAGGGCATTCCATGGTGCTTAAATACTTTTTCTTGTCTTTCTTTTTGTGCAGTACTGGGGACTGACCTCAAGGTTTCTGAACTGGAATACATATCTACCCCTCTCTTTTTAAGACAGAGTCTTGCAGGGCCGGGGAGATGGCTCAGTGGAATAAGCGCTTCCCTGGCAAGTGCAAGAGCCTGAGTTCAATCCCCAGTTCTAAAAAAAAAAAAAAAAAAAAAAGAGTCTTGCTATGTCATTAAAATGTTCAAGCTGGGTTTAAACATATGATCCTCTTGCTTCAGCTGCCCAGAGTGCTGAGAATACAGGTGTGTACTATCATGCCCGCCAAGGTACTTTTCTTTTTTCTTTAAGTTTCTTTTTTTCCCCCATAATTTTATTGATAAACAAATAGCAAAGAGACAGTTTCAAATCAAATTGGTAGAACACTTTCAATAATTGACACATTGCATACATTCTTCCTAGTGGTTAATTGCTGTACAAGATGCGGAAATGACATCCTATTTACAAACACCATTAGAACCAATCACTCTATTCATTAAGAGAATGCAACTATGTATCTATCACAATCACCCTGAATACACAGATACAAAATGGACATTCATCTGTATACCCTTTTTTTGTGAAGTTCCATTATTTGAAAATTATAGGTGTGTAAACTCAGCAAAATATTCTAAAAGAGTTCAGTAGTCCGTAATAGTATTGGGTCTTCCGCTTGACTGGCCATGTCAGAAATTGTTGACCTGAGTTGCCTACAGCTCAACATAGCAGCATGGCTTTACTTCTTATATTTCATTTTTATACTTTTCTGCTGGATGGTTAAGACCAAGGTAAAGCAGTACCTATGCAACAAGAGTTCTAGCTTTTGGGTCTGATAAGGTCAGTGAAATCCCCTCAGGATTTATCCTGAGATCCTGTACCTCAGATTGTAGAAC